GGGCTGGTCGGGGGCGGCCTCCGTCGGGGCCGCGGGCTGGTCGGGGGCGGCAGAGCCTGCCTCTCCTGCAGCGTCTTGTGAGCTCTTGGCCTGGAATCCAGAAAGGGTGACTGTGAGGTACAGAATGACCAAGGTCTTTATCGCCGCCCGCGGAGGGTGCAGGCGATGGAATCTGGTGGACGGGCGCGGAGCCGCACCGGGGTTATTTAGGAGAAACACAATACGTTATGGGGAAGTTTAAGGATTAAACGTCCCGGTTGGGTTTCGTGGAAAGTCCCGGGGACATTTTAGGTCTCTGTTGAGTTGCAGGGCTGGAAGCCAGAGCGAAGTTATCGGTTCAAGGCAGAGCCCGTCCCCTGAGCTATTGAGGGAGGGGAGGTGGTGGCCACGAGGGAGACCACCAAGGCCTCTCTGCCATGGCTGAAAACCATCCTGCCCTGCCCTGCTCCAGTTACAACGGATGGGTGGACCTGCAGTGAATGAGATAAACTTGAAGCAAACAAGGTAAAGGGTGATGAGGCCAAAGCAGCTGTGGCCAGGCCACCTTTCTGGACCTCCAGCCTCTAGTCGGGGCTGCCTCCCATAGATGTTTGCCATCGTCCATGTGTCAGCAAGGAATTGAGTAAAAAACCATGCTTTTGTGGAAGCCTGTGGCCCTCCTGCTCTGTCTGACCCCATCTCTGCACAGAAGGAAACTGGAGAGGGAGCAGCCCCCAGAGGAGGAGGCCGGAGTGGTCCTCTGCAGCTGGAGACCCATTCAAGGTGGTGGTAGTGAACATAAAGTGGGAGCAGTCAGTGTGCTTGTGAGGAATAGAGACCCCCTGAAGTTTGCTTAAGTCTAGAGTGTTGAAGGAAGGGGCGGGTGGGGGGGGGTGCTGGAGTGTCCAAGATGCTCCTAGAACCCAGTGCAGCTCTAGGGACCCGCTGCTCCCTCTGTCTCAGAGTTTGCATGTTTTGGTGCACCTGTTCCACCGTCCCCTGTCCATCCTGAACTCTAACAACACACTTCCTGGGCAAGATGCTCAGATGGTGACCATTAATGGGACTTCCTGAAGCATCCTGCTATGAATGGAACCAGATGAATCATGGGAAGGTTAGTAAAGTGCTTTGCCATGTTCAAAATGATTTTATAAAAGGCATCTAAAGTATCCTTCTTGATCTTTACAGCCCCATGTGGCAACTATGAATAATCTAGTTCTCAAAAAGCTTGAGGAGCTTCCCCAGGGTCTTGGAGCTAGCAGATGACAGAGCTGGGGCTTGGACCTGTGTCTCCGGTCTTCTGTTTAAGAGCTCCTTGCACTCTGCTTTTCTGCCCTGGTTGGTCCGAATTGCAGGAGGGAAATGTCTTTTATTAGAACATTCATGCAAATTTAATTCACATGTCAACATTGCCTCGGTGAAGATCTAACACTTAGAAGCAACAAACTCATTTCATCTAAAGCCTTTCACCATACTGAGAGCACTCTTAGAGTTCACGTCTACTCAGCCCATCACAGCCAGCACTAAAGACCCCAACTTGCTGGCTCAACCTTAACCTTGAGTTTGTGAGACAGGCAATCACATCTTTCCTCAGTCTGGGGCCACTGGTGGCTGTATCTGGAGAATGTCTTGGAACCCCAAGTAGTTTTGATGTCATTCACCAGACTCCTACTGTCATATGACCTCTGGATGGGTCCCCTGGACTCTGACACCAGCCCAGATTGAGACTGAGTTCACTGGGCTTCTTTGAATTCTGGCATGTAGACTGCTGCTCCCTCTTCTGAAGAGGCCCTGCCATTGAGCTCCTGCCTAACCCCAGCACACACACACCTTCCCCAGCAACTCCCTAAAGGACAGTCATGAACAGACATAATTAGTGCAATCATTCTAATTTGCATTCTTGGCTTTAGTCACAGAAAAAAGTCCCAGAACTAATTTTAACGCTCCCTTTAGATTTGTGGGGGAGGGAGCAACCAGCACTGTACCTGTCTATGGGATTTTCCTTTCAAACCTTTTAAATTGTCACAGACACAATATTAAATATGAGAACATCATTGCGATCTGGAAGGGACATTCCTTGCTCCCACCTCTCCTCTGACTTCTGCAACAGCATCAAGACTTCTCTTTGGGGAACCTTCCCTACCCCACTCTCAGTCCAGAGGTGGCAAGTGACCCAGGCCTGTCCAGAGCACCACATTCCCCCAGCTGCACTGAATGGCTCAGGAGTTGGCACTTGACCCAATTCTGTGCAATGGCAGTGAGTCCTGGGACTTTTGCTAGAATCACTGGGAAGAGGTACTTTCTTCATGTTGGAATTGCTATACCAGGAGGATATAACCCCAGAACTCTTGGTGGTCTGGCTGGAAATGGAGCCATCACCGAGGAAAATAGAAATTGATAGAATGGGTAAACTAGTCCTATTGGCATTTTTTTGACTTTTGGATCCAGCTTTGCCTGAACTTTTCTATTACTTGATGGAGCAACTCCATTTCCTCCAGCTCATTTGGACTTGCACTCTGTCCCTGGCAACCGAATGGGTCCTGACTGATATAAAGAAGCAGGGGGAAGTCCCTAGAACTAACTGGGTGGTCCACTCTTGGAGGTCCCTCGGCCTTCTCCCTGGTATGAACCCAAAGGGGACGGTGCAGCTGGGTTCCCAGCTGCATTACCTGTTCCAGCAGCTGTTGCTGTTTGGCAGCCGCCTCCAGCGCGGCCAGCTCTTTGAGGCGAGCTCTGAGATGGGCGAGCTTGCCTCCTCTGGCCCCCTTGCCGCCCATCTTCCCTGTTGCAGCGAGGGCAGCGTTGAAGAGCTTGGGGGTGCCCGCCCGGGGTGGGAGGATGAGCACGCTCTTCTCCTCCTTGGGCTTGTTGTTGCTTCTCAGCATGCGCCTGAAATAAAGCAGCATCCGCTTACATCACCAGCACACTCTGGGCGAGAGGAAAGGCTCGATCGTGCAGAACACTTTAGGTTGGAGTTGTGCAGTGGTGGTTGTTTTGGCTGGCGATTTCTGAGTGCTTTCTCTGGGCCAAGCACAGTGCTAAGGGCTTTCTGCATAGCATCTCACTGGATAATGAGAACAACTGTAATGAAATGGGCCTTATAGTCTGCACCTTATAAATGAGGAAACTCAGGCTCAGAGAGGTTGAGTAACTTGTCTGAGATCACACAGTTAGGAAATACTGAAGGACACTTTAATATATGGAGTCACAAATGGGATGCCCAGATGAAAAAGGACCCAAAGCTTTTTCTTTTCCTTCTGCTTCATTGTCACTTTCCCATCATCATCATCACCATTGTCAACAATTATTGAGTCTCCATATGTGCCAGGCCCTGTACTCAGTCCTTTACAGACACTCTTTGGTGGTCCCCGTGATCCCCCTTTCTGGTGTTCATGCTTGTGTCCCCTCTCCTTCAGGATGAGTGGGACACATGATTTGCTTTTGACCGTTAGAACACAAGGGATATCACTTGTGTGAATATGTCACACACGATATGACCTCTGTCTTGCAAGGGAACTCTCCCCTCACGACTTTGATGAGCCTGAGGCCAGCCATAGCCAACAACTAGCTGGGAACTGAGGCCCCCAGTCCCACAACCTCAAGGTGCTGAATTCCCCAACAACTGTGTGGTCTTGGAAGCAAGTCTTTCTCCCATCAAGACTTTAGATAAGATCCTTGCTCTGCTGACACCTTAATGACAGCTTTGTAGAGGATCTAGCTAAGCTGTCCTTAAACTTCTGACCTACACAAACTGAGATAACATGTATGTGGTTTTAAGCTACTCAGTTTATGGTAATACTGTTACACAGCAATAGATAACTAATACATACTTCCTCGTTTAAATCGCACAACAATCCTCACAGGCCCCCAGTCCCACAACCTCAAGGTGCTGAATTCCCCAACAACTGTGTGGTCTTGGAAGCAGGTCTTTCTCCCATCAAGACTTGAGATAAGATCATTGCTCTGCTGACACCTTAATGACAGCTTTGTAGAGGATCTAGCTACAAACATGTAGGATGACCTACACAAACTGAGATAACAAATGTATGTGGTTTTAAGCTACTCAGTTTATGGTAATACTGTTACACAGCAATAGATAAGTAATACATACTTTCTCGTTTAAATCGCACAACAATCCTCACGACACATACATTTTAGTGAGGAGGGGAATCTAAACACAGAGTCCATGAATAATGAGGATCTACTCTACTTTTTTGTCCTTTGGCAGAGGAGGGGCTGGCACTTGCAGCTGATATGACAGGGAAGGTGGGCAGATTTTGTGGGAAAAGTTCAGATAGCCTGGCGTTTGGAAAGGCCAAGTGGGTTCCCTGAGAGCAGCCAGGTAAGATGAGTTACAGGGCAGCTTCCTTCCCCAGGGGACCTCCGTGCCTTGTGTGTATGATGCTCAAATATCAACATTACACCCACTCACCTTGAAGCTGCCAAAGGGATCCAGTAAAAACCTAAGTCACATCAAGTCACTCTTCTGTATAAAACCCTGCATGGCTCCCATCTCCCTCAGAGTAAGAGCCAAAGCCATTACCCGTCCTCACCTACAAGGTTTGACTCAATCTCTTTCCCTCAACTCCTCCAATCCCACATCAAGCTACACTGATTTTCTTGCTGTTCTGCTGCACACAAACTAAACCTGTTCTTCTTCAGGGCCTTTGCACATGCTGTTCTCTCTGCCAGGAATGCTCTTCCCTGTGGGCAGTTCCCCAGCTCACTCCTTTACTCTGTGCAGGTCTTGGTTGAAATGCCACCTCTTCAGAACAGCTTCCCCTGACCAGCTAATCTCAGATAGCTCCCTGCATCACCTGTGTCCTTTCATGTGGCTTTGTGTTTTCTCATAGCCCTATCCCTAGCTGACGCATCACGTAATCGCTCCTTTTTTCCATTGTTGGTCTCTCCAACTAGATGTAAGCTTTGTTTGGTCCCTGCTGTGTCCCCAGGGCCTAGAACTACGTACTCAGTAAATTACTGTGTTGTATAAATGGATGTTGTTGGTGAGTTTGTTCCCTTTATTATGAGCACTCTCCATGCAGTTTACTTATGTATCATTTCATAGAATGAAGTGGAAAGTAAGAATATGTGATAAAAGGCAAGGGAGGAAAAGCAAATGTATGGATTAAAAGGATGTATTCGATTGAAAAATTATAGGGAGAATTTGATGGATAAAGAGGAGCATAATTATTATTAACATGGACTGAGCCCTCCCACATGCCAGTGCCCTACTGGAGACATTCCTGTATGGTATTATATTTAACCTTCACCACAGCAAACTAGGGGATTATACCACTTATTATACACAGGAGAAAACTGAGACCAGAAAAGTTAAGCAACTCTCTTAAGCTCAGACAGCCAGGGCCCCAGCAAGAAAGGATGTGAGTACTATCAACCTCCCAAGCCTATTGTGGGTTTTCTACTACAATGTGCTCAATTAAAAACCTGATCTTAAGAGTTTAAAAGCAAAAACCTGCTTTTCTAAAAAAAAAAAAAAAAAAATGGCCTACTCCTCAACAATACAAAATCCAGGTGTGCAAATTTATTCATTGCAATGCTGTTTGCAGTTGCAAAATATTGGAAATACTCTAATGCCCATTCATAGGAATGCTTTACAACTGTTGAAAGGAATGAGGAAGCTGTCTATAGACTGGGAGAATGATTTCCAAGATTTTTTGTCTTATGAAAAAAAAGCAATAAGTAAAGGAATAAAGTGAATCTATACTGATATAAGTAGATAAATGAATAAACAAATAAATGGGAGGGAAGGAATAGCTCTTCCTTACAGTTGAACGGTGGCTAACACACATGAAAGGAGTAATGGAGTTAGAAAATCACCATTTTGCAACCATCGTAGCAATCATTGATTTAGTGAGGAAACATCAGCGGATGGTAACAATAGTGGATTAAAGTTCGATGGAGAAAAGGGTATCTACATAGTCTCAAAGTGACTCCTCACAAATTACTTATTAATTACAAAGAGAAAAGTAGTAATATTACAATGCAGAAAACTTAACCAAGTGATCAAAGGAAAAACCATCAGTACTGGGAGAAACCAGTATCACGTGCCTTGCGATGTGCTTACTGAGAAGGACACATCACTTCTGAGTGATTTCTGCCAAAAATGCAGAGCCAGAAGGTAATCATGAGAAAACATCAATCAAACCCAAACTGAGGGACATTCTACAAAATAACTGGCTTGTATGCTTCAAAGAAGTAAAAAATAAAAGAAAAAAACTGTATGCTTCAAAGAAACCATTAAAAATAGAAAAAGACTGCAGAACTATCCCAGGTGAAAGGAGACTAAGAATGCATTGCACCTTAATGGAACATGTGATCCTAGACATGATCCAGGAATAGAAAAGAAAAAAAGCTATAAAAGACACTATTGGGACAATTAGCAAAATCTGGATATGAATTACTGGTGAGGTAACAGTATTGTTTCAATACTACATTTCCTGATTTTGATAAAGTTACTGTGGTTATGGAAGAGAAAGTCCTTGTCCTTAGCATTTTTTTTTTTTTTTTTTTTTTAAAGATGACTGGTAAGGGGATCTCAACCCTTGGCTTGGTGTTGTCAGCACCACGCTCAGCCAGTGAGCAAACCGGCCATCCCTATATAGGATCCGAACCCATGGCCTTGGTGTTACCAGCACCGCACTACCGAGTGAGCCACGGGCCGGCCCAGCATTTTTTTTTTTTCTTTTTTCCTTTTTGTCTTTTTCCATGTCCGGCAACGGATCGCAACCCTCAGTGTCGCGCCCGTACCGGACCGGGACCGGCAACGGGATCGCAACCCTCGGTGTTGCTCCCACACCTCGCCCAGCCAGTGAGCGGGAACTGGCCTGTATGTGGGATCCGAACCCTCGGCGGGAGCACCGCCGCACTTCCCAAGTGGCGCACTATAGCAGTGCGCCACCGGGCCGGCGCATTAGCATTTTATTTTTAATGAAAAAAAAAAAAAATTACGTACCTGGCTTTCTTCCGGAGTAACTTCTGAGACTCAGGATAATGCACCAAAATTTCATTCAAGTCCTTCTTATCGAGAATGAAGAGGTTGGTAAACCCGTGGGCCACCACGTTGGCCGTACGCCGATTCCCGCCACCAACAGCCAGCAAGCTGGGGCAGAGAACGGAGGGAGGTCAGACCCTTCGGAGGCTGTGGCTCTGATCACATTCGAATCCTCATTTTCACTTCCTGTGTCAAGTACCGTGATGGCTCCACACGGGTGAGAGCCTGGGCCCACCCTGCACTTGTACGTCAGCAGGTGCCAGTGCTGATCACAGTGGTGTCCTCAGACCCACCCACTAGCCATCCACTCCACCTTCCTCAGCCCTTGCCCAGGGCCTCTCATTTTACCCCAGCTCCCCTCTGACCTGATTTCTCCAAACACAGATCCAGCTTTGAGTGTCACCAGCACAGACTTCCCATCAGGGCCGCCCAAAACCTGCACCTGCCCCGCCTGGATGATGTACATCTCGCGGCCAATCTCCCCCTGAAATAGAGAAGGGGCGAGTCCATCTTCCCATCCCCAGAAGCGACCAGAGAAGCAGTGAGGGCTGGGCCCAGAGGCCGGTAGGAACGAGGCTGCGGTCCAGCCCTGCCACGGCAGCTCGGCGTGGGGGGTGGGGCCAGCCACTTCCCTCTCTGGCCTCAGTCTCCTCCTCTGTGGACTGGGGAGAGTGACCACCCCTTGCCCTGCCTCACTGACAGGGTTTTGGTGGGGAGTTTGTGTTGTCATGGAACAGAAAGTTCTAGCTAACCTCTGAGGTGCAGGTGTAACGGTATTCTGCAAATTCCGCAAATTATACCCAGTGGTGGACGCAAGGCAAATCGAATAGTGGTTCACATCATAAGCTAATATCTATGCCTAGCACATATCAGGAGCTTGGTAAGCATTTGCCAGCTGAAATAGGAATGACACAGTAATCATGAAGTCCAGCACATCCATAACACTTTTCAGTGCCAGGCACTGTTGTAACTGCTTCATGTGGCTGTACCTACTTCGTCCTCAACAGCCTTCTCACGTAGGGTGCTCTTCGCCCAAGGTCGTAAAGCCGGGATGAGGGAGAGCTGGGATTTGAACCCAGACAGTCTGGTTCCAGAGTTCACGGTTGTTATGGGTTGAATTGTGTCCCCCCACAAATTCATATATTGAAATCCTAATGCCCAGTACCTTAGAATGTGACCTTAGTTGGTAATAGGGTCATTGCAGATGTAATTAATTAAATTAAGATGAGGTCATATTGGAGTAGGAGGGGCCCCTGATCCAATATGACTGGTGTCTTTAGAAAAAGGGAACTTTGGACACAGAGACAGGCATAGAGGGAAGATGACGTGAAGAGACACAGGGAGAAGGTGGCCATCTGCAAGCCGAGGAGAGAGGCGCTCAGTGTGGGGGATAGTTGTGCTGTACTACAGCAGTCCTAGTGCACTAAGGCAGTGGCCTAAGTCCCAGATAAAACCGAATGAATGAATGAATGAATGAATAGCTTGTGCTACGGATCGATGTCCCCCCAAAACTTACTACCTACTGAGACAGTGTAAAGAGGGTGGGAAATCTTATTATGGTAATTGAAAGGTGGGTCCTTGAAGAGCTGATTAGAGTGTAGGACCATGCCGTAGTGAATGTATCAATGATGGTGGTCAGGGGCATGGTTCTGAGGGCTTTAAAAAGAGAGCACATGAGAGTATTTCCCTCTCTCTGCTCTGTCATTTTCTGCCATGTGAGACCCCTGCATTGCTGTAAAACCACCACCAAAGAAGACCCTCACCAGATGTGTTCCCTGGACTTTGGACTTCCCAGCCTCTGACACTGTAAGCAATAAAATTATTTCTTTATAAATTACTCAGTCCCCGGTATTTGGTTATAAGCAACAGAAACAGACTAATACAGCTTGCTTTGGACTGCAATCAGAAATATCCAGTCTGCCACACGCCTTCCAGTCCTTACACCTTCACAGGCTCCTGCCCTGGCCTGCTACCTCTGGGCAGCACCCGGCGTGTTTAAAAGGGAAGAGACCGAGGAAAATAATTCAGTCACTCTTTTGATTTATTCAAATGTTTCCTGTGCATCTCACATATGCTTGGCCCTCTTAACAAAAAAGGAAGACAGTTTTGCTTCTGTTTCTGTGTCCAATTTGACACAGGCTGAAGTATGAGTGGACTGAAGAGCTGACCTTCACCTCACTAACCAGCCCCAGGGTGGCCCTGGAGTGTCTCAGTGAGATCGTCACAGAGCAAAACCAGACAATAGAGGGCACCATGCACACATGATCATCAAGTGCTCAATTGAACTTGCCACTGCAGACTCCCCCAGCTCCTGATTTGCCTTTTCTTACCTAAAGCAAACTCCTTATTACCCTCGTGGATAATAGCAATGGCAATTGCACCTACTCTGTGCCAGGCACGGTGCCAAACTCTGTGTGCACATCTTCTTCAATCCTCACAACCACTCCATGAAGGAGGTATTACCAATAACCCTACATTATCCACCAGGACGGCAGGACTCAGAGAGGGCAAGCCACTCACCCAAGGCTGCACAGCTAGGAAGTGGCTCCAACATCAGACAAATCACTCTATTGGTCCACAACCCCTCTTGGTCCCTGAAGCTCCAGCTTTAAATCCAATCATCTTCAACATCCTTTCCCCCTTTCCCCCCAGCTCTCTGCTTCCAGAAACGACACTGCTACACAGCATAACCTGGAGACAGGGGTTTTCTTGGGGATGGGGATTCCCAAGTCTTATAGGGCCTGCTTGGGCAATATGTTCACCCCTGTGCACACACCCAGGCTTATTAACAGCTCTGTACAAGAGGATCGAAACCTGGGTTCCTGCCCCCTCCCCATTCACCCAGTGGCCCTTGCGTCACCTCGAATCCGAAAGACATGGAGCAGAAAAGGCTTTAGTCACTGTCTGGACCTGGAGTTCAAACCCACATGTTTTCTTGGATCAGGTGGGTGATGTAAAGCAGTGAAGGGAGCCTGGTGTGGGGCAGTGGGGAATGGTGGGGCCTGTGGCTTCAGGAGAGGGCATGATGCTTCCATTTAGGGGCAGCCCCTCCTCCACTCCAGCTGACTCTTGCTATTTGAGAAAGTGGGGCCCAGTGCTAGCAGATTTTCTGTTTTCAGCCAGAGATCTGGATTTTTATGTGAAATCTTCCAATTTTTAAAAGTTGGGGACTAATTCAATTTTTTTTTTTTAAAGATTAGGAAAAGAACCCCACAAAATATCTGTGCCAGATCCTATTCAAGAGCTATAAGTTTGCAACCTCTGACCTAGACCTACCCCTTCTCTTGTCCCATTTTCCTGCTGGGAAGATTGAGACCCTGGAAGTAGTCCTGTCTACACAGTCAAGACCCTGCCCCTCTTCAGGCTCCTTGCTTTCCTTTCCTGTACAGTGAAAATCCTCATCATTGCCCCTACGGTCTTGCATTGAGAGAGCTGTGAAAATGCTTTGCAAAGCCTAAGGCACATCTGTGATCACTGCCTGGAGCTGGATAAGCCACCTAACCCAAAAAACCTGAGAGCTCTTGGGTCAGGTCACCAGTGCACAGAGCTATAGCTGCTCCTCTCCCTCCCCAGCAATTCCGCTCTACCCTGGGCTTGCAAACCTCACTGGGCCTTCAAAGGTGCTCCCTCCAGTCCAGATCCTTGAAAGGGTGTTGTGAATCCCAAATCCCATTGCAGCTGCCTCAGCCAGCTCACCTTTTTGCACACGTAGTCATTGGGCAGGTAGACCACAGAGCGAAGCCTCTTCAGCATGTCAAAGATCATCTGCCGGTCACAGCCCTACCCCAGAGAGGAGGTGAGAGGAGCCCCATTTAGAGGAAGGTTTGGGCTTGGGAACTTCCAGAGCCCTGGGGGTGAGGGCACCAGGTGGGCATACCTGAAAGAGTGCCACTTTGCTAACAATGTCATAGTTCACATCGATGGCGAGGTCCAGCCGCATCTTGTCCGGAAGCTGCACCATCAGTTCTGATTCGTCTATGAACAAGACCCAGCAAGGGTCAGAGGCAATGCCAGGCCCCTCCCCATGCACACATACAGGCCAAGGCCCTATGCACTGGCTCACTCAGGCACCCTATTCCCCTGCCACACAGAGCCAGTCTAGATTTGTAGAGTGCCCTTTTTCACCTCCATGCCTTTGCCAATACTATTCCCTCTGCCAGGAACACCCCCGTGCACTTTTCTGACCAACTCCTACTCATTCTTCAGAACCCAGCACTAATGCCACCTCCTCCAGGAAGCCTTCCCTTGACAGTCCCTGTGCTGTAGCACTGACCACCCCCCTTGTTGCAACTGCTGATGATCTATTGTCCCCACTCACACTATAACAACATTAGCAAGAACTAAAGTCTACTGAACACTTACTATGTGTCAGGCACTCTGTTACAAAGTGTTTTACAAAGATTATTTTATTAAATCCTCCCAGCAACCCAAGAGATGCCCATGACTATAATCCCTGCTTTACAGATGAGTGCAGGGGTGTGGCTTGCCCATGGCCACACAGCCCCATCAGGATCCCACTCAGAGCCTGCCCCAGGAGAGCAGGGGCCACATCTGTTGTGCCCACCGTGGGCTCTGCGGTGCCCATGAGAGAAAGGGAGGATAGAGGACGGAGGGAGGGAGGGAAAATCTTTCTTCTTTCCTGATTTAAACTGTTTTTAGATCTTTGATGGGGATTTATCTCAAGGTGGGTAAAGTGAGATGAGGGACGTCCAGAAGACAAGGGATCTCATGATGCAGCCAAGAGAGGCCCCAGTGCTCGGAGACACAGAGGGCAAAGGCAGGGCTCAGGGCAGCAAGTTGGAGGTGTGTGTGTGTGTGTGTGTGTGTGTGTGTGTGTGTGTGCAGTCTTACCCAGCATGCCTTGCGACTGCCAGGTGTACTCGTACCAGGTCTTGACACGGTTCTGCACGGACTTGGGGATCCTGTAGAAGTTCATGTACTTCACTGTGCTGTCCATGCAGCTGCGGTAGTAGGTCTGGCCTGCGGTGGCGGCCCCCACCACATCTCTCATCTGGGGGAAAAGGTTGGGGGAGCTCCAGGAAGCTGCTGGGTCAGAGGGGGGCTATTAAATGGGTTTGGGGGATTTGCCACTTTATGCGGACCAGGGACATGTGGTCATAGGAGTGGGAAGATTGGGAGAGAGACAGACAGATGTCCACACACAGAGAAGCTTTCACGGATGGGGGAAGGAGGGAATGAGGCTGCCAACCCCTTGGGTGGCCTCAGGTCCCTGGGACCACACAAGGAGAGGACATCTCATGCCGGCTGGGCCGTGAGGTGTGTGGGGTGTGATTCTGGGTGGCCGCTCAGTGCCAGCAGCCACTTCTCTAACCCTATGCTGGAGTAAATATGACCCCAGTGTACTGTTCCTCAGGGCAGTGCCCTGATTGTCACCTCATGTGCTGATTAGAATGTAAGATACTCCCCCAGCACACCAGAAACGCCAGGGCAGGGGTTTCTCTCAAAGGAAACAGCCCCAATCCTCAGGCTTGGCAGAAAACCATTCATCCCAGCATATCCAGGTTTCCCAAAGGGATTGATAATTCAAATGGGAATGACTTCAGAGAGGGACTGGGATCTAGATCACTCCCACCCCCTTCACACAGCAGGGCCCAGTGCTCCCACTCCTGCCTCTCAGTCCAGTGCTCTTTCCTGGGCTTAGTCCAAAAGGAACGGGCACAAAGGATGACATTTCTGACAGTAGTGCGAGGGGGCCCTGCAGGCAGGTGGGGTGGAAAGCCAGGCTGATGCTCCAGCTACCTGTCCAATCATCACAGAGAAAGCAAAGACGCCTGTGAAGTAGTTCAGAAGCTGGAAGACAATTTCAAAGAGTGTCCTGGGGTCGGGCAGCCCACCAATGGTGATGAGGGTCTTCACAGCCCAGTAGTAACAGCGAATGTAACTGGAGAGAGAAAAGAAAAGGGGCTGACTTTGGGCAGCCTGGTTCAGACACCTCTGGTAGATGTGCATTGTGTAAGAGAGAACCCTTTACAGCTCATAAATGCAAGAAAAACCACCTCTCGCATGTGCAGAGCAGGTTCACAAATGCTATCTGGTTTGGTTGTGACTCTACCCCAACCCTGCAGGAATATGTTGTCATTCCCATTTACAGATGTGGAAACTGGGGCTCCAGGAGACAGCTGGGAAGAGTTGGCAGGAGGATAGCCCAGAGTCTTCAGACTCCTGAGGACTGGGCTCCCTCAGTCATCCTTCAATGTTCTTTCCATTTTCAGTCTTTTCCTTTGCAATCCCCTGTCATGCTGGTTCATGGAAAGTAAGAGCAACACTGAAGTTGGAAGATATCTTGAGGATCACCTTTTCTGACCCTCCCCCTTGCCCACCCATTTTCCAGACAGTGAAACTGAGGCCCCAAAAGGGAAAACCCACAGTCACCAGCTGACAAGTTCCAGAGCTAGGACTAGATCCCACCATCAGTAACCCCCTGACACAGGCCTGTGATCCATTGGGAGAGGATGTATGAGTGAAGGGACCCTACTTGTGGTAAAAGGCACAGGAAATGCCCCAGGTGCTGTGGTCTGAATGTGACCTCCCAAGTTCATGTGTTGGAAACTCAATCCCCAGTGCAACAGTGTTGGGAGGTGGGCGCCTTTTGGCAGCTGTTTAGGCATGAATAGATTAATGCCATCATAGAGGAGCTTGATGAAGGGAGTTTTGCCCCTTTTTGCCCTTCTGCCTTCTGCCACATGAGGACACAGCGTTCCTCCCCTCCAGAGGATGCAGCATTTAAGGTGCCATCCTGGAAGCAGAGAGCAGCCCTCACCAGATGCCGGCACCTTGATCTTGTACTTCCCAGCTCCAAAACTGCGAGAAAGAAATTTATGTTCTGCCTAAATTACCCAGTCTCGGGAATTTTGTTATAGCAGCTCACAGCGAACTAAGACACCAAGTTTATCTAATTATCACAAAGTAGCAAGGGTCCCTCATACACCTGCCCACACCTTCAGGTTGAGACCACCCAGGAATCAGCAGGGCCTAGAGACTGGGCAATCCTGGCCAGCTTTCCTGTGTCTTCCTGGGCTTTGCTCAGCAGCTATTTCTGTAGCATCATAGATGGAACATGGGCTCTGGAGCCAGGCTGCCCGGGCTCAAACCCAGCCCCACCATGTTCTAGCCACATAACTTGGACAAATTACTCAGTCTCTCCAAGACTGGCATTACATGGCATTAGAACATCTTTCACAGGGGACCATGAAAACGAAACGAGATGCTAGAGGAACACCTGGCACGTGGTGGGCTCTCAGTAAGTCAGCCTCGGATAGCTTCTCTGTTGCTGGTCCTACCATGCACTTGTGCTAGAGAATGCAACAGGCTGGCCCATGTCCTGGAAGCTGGCTACCTAGGGGGGCATGCTGGGAGGAGGAAGCAGAGGTTGCTGGGGAGTTTGGTGGGGAGTTCTGCCTCCAACTAGCTGTGAGAATTTGGGCAGGGCTCTTAGCTCCTGTTCCCCATTATCACCCATTGCCTGGAAGTCTCAGGACCACACAAGACAGGCCTGCCTGGTCAAGCCTCTGTCGTACCTGCTCAGGCCACCAGAGGGCACATGAAAGCAGCCTTCAACCCAACGGAGCAGCCCCCAACCCTCCAGACCCGTCCTGGAGCTGGGTGTTCATGCCACGGGGCCACCAACAGACAGAAGACACAGGAGCGATGTCCACAAAGCCCCGGCTTTCCCCCAAACCCCTCCTGGTTGGAGGACTCTCCCACTGGCATGGCACATCTTAGGAAGCTCCCTTCAGTCCTCATGTCTTTTACTCTCTTAAGTCTATGGAGACCCTCCATGCCCCAGGCTGGGCAGGGCCAGAGCAGGACGGCCCTGGAGCAGGATGAAGGGCCCAGTATATGTAGGATCTCGGATCCTCAAGGCTCAGGCACACAGCAGGCACTTAACAAATGGTAGCTATTTTTAAAGTTCTTATTCACGCGGTTGGGCTTCTCGGGGACTCCTTCACTACCTGTGCTTTGCTCATGTGTTGGGGCTTCCTGGAAGATTTCGTTTGGAATAGAGCGCTGCTACCAGAAAAGTATGTCCTTCCCCCTGCTGAGCAGAGGGTCCTGCAGAAGGAGGTCCCCAGACAGCTGACCCCCTGTCCTCTCCTCCTGCTTGCCCTTCCTTCCCAGGGCTGCCCAGTGATGGACGTGCCAGGCCCAGCCCCGGCGAGGGGGGTTCTTAGTTTATTGGGGCACACACTCCTTTGAGAATCTCAGGAAAGCTAGGACTCTTTCCCTAGAAACACCAAAGTATTCTCAAAATTTAGCTACAATTCCCACGGGGGTTGTGACCTCCTTAAATCTCTATACCCCAGGTTACAAACCCCTTTCCTGACATTCTGGCTTACCTGTAGCAGGAACTGGGGTCACAGATTCCTGTTCAGGCACAGGTTGGACATGTTATATATCTTAGTTTATTGTTCCTCATAAGAAATTGAATGTAATACCACCCCCATTTTGTATATGAGAACATCGAGTCTCAGAAAGAGTAAGGGCCCCACCCAAGATCACAGAGCTAGACTTGATGCAGAACTTGTGTTCTCCCCTTTGTGAGTGGTTAAATGAATGAATGAATGAATGAAGGGTATAGTCATGGGCTCAGGAGCAGGGCTGTGGATGGATTCAACCATGGGAAACAAGGGGCAGGGCCACTGGTGATGTGGGGGAGTGTTAGGCCCTGACCCCTCACAGACTCCACCCCACAACGGAAGTCAGCAATTCCCCACATGCCTGCCTGGGCTGCCCTGGCTTCTGGGACATCTCTATAAAGGTATGGCTCTCCCTCAGACCGCAGGCACATCACAGAAGGTGACAGCTACAGCATGGTGACTGAGGTTGGGACATCCATACTGAGAACAGGACATTCTGAACAAATAGTCACTCTATGAAGAAGCCGCCTTGGACATGAGTGACCCACCTGTTCAGTGCCAACTGGAAGCAAGTGCTTAGAGGGGGACAGAGTGTTCACAGCTGGCCTGTGAGCATTTTGCATCACTCATGGGCACATCCCAGGGCAAGGCAGAGCCCACCTAAGGTGACTAACTCACCATGAGACTCTTCCTCCTCCTCCTCTTCATCACTGCAGCCAACTCAGCACCTCCTATGGCTGGCACTGGGGCAGCGACTCACGCATCTACCTCTCACAGGTACCTCTCTGGGGTGTGAGCCTTATTTTCAACCCCATTTCACAGGTGAGAAAACTGAGGCCCAGAAAAGAGAAGTGGCGTGTCCACTGCTGTCAGGTGGCAGCTCCAGGAGACACACATAGGACTCCTAGTCTATAAAGCCCATGCTCTGAATCTCCAGGCTCAGCCCTGTCCTCAACCGCACATGCTCCCACCTTCTCACACTGCCCTCCCTCCCCAAATGAAGCACAGCCTGTGTCCTGATGGGTTTGTGCTCTACCTGACATACTGGCATCCACCTAGCTGGTGTCTGCCTCCTGCCTTTCCTCCCAGACCATCTTCCCATCAGCTGAGTGACCTTACTGAGAGACCCTCCCTGTGGTCACTCTCCTGCTCAAAGGCTTTGAAAGGCAAAGAGAGAGAATGTCAACAGGGTGGCTTTCGGTACCATCCAGCCTTAAAAGCTAGACACTATAACTATGGGAACTCTCTCTACTTTCCAATGGATTTTTTTTTTTTCCTTTTGTCTTTTTCATGTCCGGCAACAGACCGCAACCCTCAGTGTCGCGCCCGTACCGGACCGGGACCGGCAACGGGATCGCAACCCTCGGTGCTGCGCCCGCCCCTCGCTCAGCCAGTGAGCGGGAACCGGTCTGTATGTGGGATCTGAACCCTCGGCGGGAGCGCCACCGCACTCCCACGCGGCCACTGTAGCAGTGCGCCACCGGGCCGGCCCTTTCCAATGGATTTTTATGAAAACCTAAAACTGCTCTAAAAAAATAAAGTCTATTAATTAAAATAATTTAAAAAACCCTAAAAATGTTCATACCCTTGGCTCTGCTATCCGCCTGTGAGAATTTATTATGAGGAAACAATCAGGCCAGGGGACAAAGATTCGCATAGAAAGACATTCCCTACAGCGTCACGTGTTACAGTGAAAAATTAGAAATACCCTCTAGGGCTAACGACAAGGAAATGGTTGGTATATCTGTATGGTGGGGTATCAATATCATGGTTTTAAAAAATGCAGTGATGAGAAAATATACACAATATTCTTATCCTACTTCCTTGTTGGTGACTTGTTTTTTTCACCCGTTTTAATATTTTTACAATTGGGATGGATCTTACAATCCATGTACACATTTGATGTAATATTTATTTTTTTCCTAAAAGCTGAATTGACTCAATAATGTGTCATATAATTAACTGTATCTTAGAATCAAAGAAATACAGTAGAGTATGTTCCTGATCTTTCTTTTATAATCAGAAAATATTTTATATATGACATCATACATATATATGATATATACGTATGTATGTACATATATATGATAAAGAACAGCAAAAAAAGAAATCTTTGCTGGGTCCCCATTGCCTAAAGCAATGCTATCCCATAAAAATATATGATTACATATGTAATTTTAAATTAACATATGTAAATTTAAATTTCGAGTTCCATACGTAATTTTAAATTTTCTAGTAGTCGTGGTACTGATAACCAAGGTCCTGTGTTTGATCCCTGTACCAGTTAGCTGCCAAAAAAAATTTTTTTTAATTTAGAAAACCATGTAAACTTTCTAGTAACCACATTTCTAAAAAGTAAAATAAAAAGAAACAGGTAAAATTAATTTCAGTAGTGTATTTCAGTTAACCCCAAAAATGAGTTATTATCATCTTCATATGTAACCACTATTTTAAAAATGGGTAATAGATAGTTTACATGCTTCGTCATAAGTCTTCCAAATCCTGTGCATACGTCACATCTAAAACACATCTCAGTCACACTAGCTGCCCATTAAGTGCTCACTAGCCCGGTGTGGCTAGTGGGTACTGGATCGGACAGCCCAACTTTAGAGGAAAAGGTTCAAATTCCCAGGGGAGGCTAGTCAGCAATTGGCCCCACCTACCTTTCTGGAAACTTCCACACGCCCCATCCCTCCAGTCATACAGTCTGCTCTTTGACTCCATTATCTCCCAGCACCCCATCTTTCTTAGTGCTATTCCCTCCTCCTGGGCTCTCTGTCCCTTCTTTCCACCGATCAAGGCCAAGATCAGACTTTTGGCAACTTTTGGTGGAACTGATCATGCCCACGTCCACCTCCCCCACCCCCTCTGGGCACTAGGCTGGCACTTTTTTTTCATCCAGGCACATGGTACAACAGTTAAGACTCTGTAGCCCTGCTGCCTGGGTTCAAATCTCTAACTTAATGACCAGTGCGACCTTGGGAATTCACACCTGTTACCTCATCTGTGAAATGCAGATGTGATGGTGCCTGTCTATGCGATTGCTGCTACTATGTTAAGTGTCTGAACACGACTGGTACGTAAGTGTTCTACAGGGCTTGCTGTTGGTATTATTACTGTTGTCGGTACCATCACCATCATCATCATCATCATTTTAGCATGTGCCATAACGTCTGGCAGCTCTCTGGATTGGCAAGTGGGTTTCACCTTGTTTGCCATTCCTCAGCGGCCAGGAGTGGCTGGGGAGCTGTGCTGAGAGGTGTTCTCTGGCCTCATTCCCACTTGGCTGCGCCTATGAGGTAGAGGAGCAGATCCACCTGTAAAGTGTATTTGCCAACTACTAAACTTCGGGATGCTGCAAGAATCTTCCTAACAGGTCTCATTCAAGTCTATAAGCCCTGTCTGGAGACCTTAGCTTAGTGAAGATGTGGAGACTTGGCCTTTGAGCCTTGTCATGTCAATGATTCCTTGGGAGCAAGGTGGCCTCAGCAACATGGTGGCAGTGAGACTCCTTCCTGGAGTCTTTGTGCTGTGAAGTATAAAGTGTGTGGCCCCAGGAGGAAGACTGTGGCTCACCCGTTTCCCACGCCATCGTAAACCCAGTGAGTGGAGCCGATGCCCTCATAGTCCGACGCCCAGTAATAAAGACATGAGTTCAAGTGTAAACTGTACAGCAAGTAGGCTGTGGTTCTGATGACCCTGCAGGAGAAGGAAAAAGGATGAACACAGCAGCAAAAATCCCCAGGGGTCAGGACTGCAGGAAATGAGCCAGTCCTCACTCCCCACCCCCTCACCTCAGAGGTGGAGCTGTGTGGCCCTGTCCAGTGGCTTGGAGGGATGGCCACCAGCCAGGGAGAACCAACCAGTGGCTGGGCTGGCCCCATCGGATGCTCTTTTGAGACCGTGCCAGTTGGGAATGGTGGCGCTTGAATGGAATGTTGTCAAGACTGGAAATGGAGCTGGAATTGGCAGAGGGGTAGCAGAGCTACCTGTGCAGATGAGTTCTCGGGGAGTGGAAGAACCAGAGGGGAAACATGTTTCTGGGGAGGAGAGGGGAGAGGACAGATGTGTGCAAGGAAGTGAAGATGGAGGCTGTGCTGCCTGTGAGAGATATGAAGAGGAGCTTGTTCCCCAAGCGTGGCCTGGCTGCTCTTGCACGACTGCGAGATGACCACTGTGTCCTCATTACAGCTCCTGCTCTGCTAGAGCTGGGGGGTGGGGGGAGCTTCAGCTCAGTTTCCTGCCCTGGAAATGCTGGTGAGTCACTCCTGTCAACCTGTGTGGGCACTGATCACAATGCGGGGAAATGGGACATTCCTGGTGCTCTAGAAAACAAACATTCCTTCGGAGAAGAGGAGGCTGGGCCAGGAAGACATGGCTTCCAGTGGTGCTGGGGCCTGGAGGGCCGGGGGAGTTTGAAAGCGGGAGCGTGGGGGTAGGGAGTGCCTCGCTCCCTCTGTTCTTGCTGCAGACATCCTGCACTGTGTGCGTGTGTGCACGTGTGTGTGCACATGTGTGTGCAAGTGTGTGCACGTGTGTGCATGCATGCATGTGTGTGTGTGGAAGGGGGGGCCTCACCTGTAAACGTAGGCTTTGCTGAGGATGGATTCCAGGCGGTCGTTAAACTCAAAGAAGGCCAGGTACTGGGAGGAAGAGCAAGGCGTCACAGGCAGCCCATGGTCTGTGGGCCATGCACTGCCCTTGCGTCTCCGGCCCTGTCCCCACCATACCAGGGCTGAGGGCTGAGGAGGGGGCTGGACAGTGAGCATTCAGAATCAGAGCTCCTTAGCCCCTTGAGGGGTGGAGGCCAAAAACTCCTCTTAGGGATCTGATGAAAGTCATTGCCCATTTTCCCTCGTAGATTACATCTAATCATGTTCTCACACTTTGCATGTAATTTCAGGGGACTCCTAGACATTCTCACTCCTATCATGACACTTTCAGGGGTACGTGCATGCCAGGGAAAGGACCCTGTTTTGAATGTTTATTTATAAAGAAAACAATTTTACAAAGAAATGGCATCCTCCCCCTCTCTACCTTATCACCTTCAAAGGTTTATTTAGAACAATAAAAATCTAATAATATCTACTCTTCTGTATCGAGCACCTATTACATGACTGGCACTTTAGATGACATTACCTTCTTTCTTTTTTTTTTTTTTTTGTCTTTTTTTGTTGTGACTGGTAAGGGAATCGCAACCCTTGGCTTGGTGTCGCCTGCACCGTGCTCAGCCAGTGAGTGCACCGGCCATCCCTATATAGGACCCGAACCCGCAGCAGGAGCGCTGCTGCACTCTCAAGTGCCCCACTCTCCCAAGTGCGCCACAGGGCCGGCCCAACATTACCTTATTTCTTTTTTTTTTTTTAAAGATGACCGGTAAGGGGATCTTAACCCTTGGCTTGGTGTTGTCAGCACCACGCTCAGCCAGTGAGCAACCGGCCATCCCTATATGGGATCCGAACCCCTGGCCTTGGTGTTATCAGCACCGCACTCTACCAAGTGAGCCACGGGCCGGCCCCCTTATTTCTTATTTACACATGAGGCATGTGTCATCAACTTCCTTTGACAAAGAGGAAGCTGGCACTCAGGGAAGTCCAGTAACTTGTCCAAAGCACATGCTGGTGAGTGACAGAGACAGGACTCAAACCCAGATTGGACTCAAACCTACAAGCTCTTTCCATGATGCTGCACTCCCTCTACATCTCTGTACACATTCATTTTCTGATATTTGAAAATAGCATTTATAAAGATTCTCTAAAGGATATGTCAGCTATTCATCCAGGTGTTCATTCTAATCTCTATCCAGGGTTTAAATTGGATGCAGAAGGACCACAGGCTTGGGTCCCTCATCTTAGGCTCAAAGAATTTTTTCCTCTGAGTTGTGCTGAATGTTGGGCCCGTGAGTTACACATGCTCACCAGGGCCACCATGTGAACCAAGGTACGAATCTCACCTCTACACCTGGGATAAAACATGGCCCAAGGGCCCAGCCTTCCTCATTCTAAAGCACTCTGCAGCCCCCCAGGAGGCTGACGTGTATCACAGAAGAACGGTGCCACTCACAGGTCCCCCTTCCTCTCGGCAGCCAGAAAGCTCAGAGGCAGCTTCCATGCTCGAGTCCAGGCAGGTGTGCTTTCTTTCCATCAGGGGACTTAAATTCCTCCTCATTTTCTCCTGTTTCCCCAGGTTATTACAGTTATTATGTTTGCCTTTTTTTTTTTTTTTTTGCCTTTTTTCGTGACCGGTAACGGGATCGCAACCCTCGATGTCGCGCCCGCACCGCGCTCAACCAGTGAGCAGACCGGTCTCTATATGGGATCCGAACCCTCAGCGGGAGCGCCGCTGTGCTCCCAAGCACCGCACTCTACCGAGTGTGCCACCAGGCCGGCCCATGTTTGCCTTGTAAACTCCCTCATTACTATTTCTGGGAAAAGGCACCAGCATCACTTAAGGAGAGAGATGAATTTAATTGATTGGCCAGCAAAATCCATCAGGGGGATCCTGAGTGCTCTGAGTGGCTGTCCACCCTGGTCACACTACAGGACAGTTCCCGGGTTTCCACTCCATGCTATGCCAGCCGGACACTCCATGGGACACTGACTCTGCCCAGTGAGTGGCAGAAGAAACAGCTGGAATGACACTGAGCATCAACCAATGATGAAGTGGGTGTCGAGCTGGGCATTCAAATCCATCCTAGGGCTTCCTAGCTCCTGTGAGCTCGGGCAAGTCACCCAGCCTCTCCAAATGCCAATTTCCCAATCTTTTAGTTGGAGACCACCATAAGGCAGATACTCCTCTCTTGAGAGGCTCTATAATTACTGAAAGCAGAGGCAGTGGAGACAGACTGCCTGAGTTCAAATCTAAACTCCACTCCTTCCTATCTGTGTGACTTGGAGCAAGTTACTTAACCTCTCTGTGTCCCAGTCCCCTCATTTGTAATATGTTGGTAATAACAACACTCACATCATAGGGTTCAGGAGTAAGCCTTGGTTAAGCCCCTGGAATGATACCTAATGTGGTGCCACAGAAGCACTGTACATTGTAATGAACTTGCCACTAAGACACACATGGATTGAATGCATCTCCCTCAGGCCATCCCTCAAGGATTCCTTTTCCCTCCCCAGTGCTGCTCAGGGCAGAGCTGGTGCAGAGCATGGTGGAGCTGAAGGCCTTGGGTGGGGGAACCTGCCAGTCCTACCTTTAAACAGCGGGGCAAGCGAAGGAGGGGGTTCACACCAAATTTCAAGTAGAGAAAATCCAAGGGCAGGAGGCAGAGCAGGTCCATCTGAAATCACAAGGGACATCACAGTGTGTAAAGCGGGTATCCCCGGGGTTGGGGGTTCAGGTGAGTGAGGGGCAGGGTCTCCAGGGTCCCCACCTTCAATGGAAAGGTAGGGTCAGAATGCCTCAGGGGGGCCTAAGATGAGAGGGCAGAAAGCTCCCACTTGGCTTCAAAGCCCATGTTGCCAACCCCAAGGGCAGCTTCATTACCATGGCTGCTGTGCTGCATAGTGGGAGCTGGAGTGGTACGGACACATGGAAAAGTGGCCTCTGAGCACCACCCAGCCTCTGCTGGTCTCCTGGGGCTTGTGGCCTGAAGGATACTCCCATGGGAGATGGGACCAACATCCCTCCAGGAGGCAGGAACCAAGTCACATGGGCCCCCTAAAGCACCTGGGGCCCTCCCAGATTCCACCTTCTGCAACCTCTGCAGGCACTAAAACTTGCATCGCTGACACACACCTTAAAGCGACGAGATTTCATGTAGTTATTTCGCATGTCCTTTTTGTCTGTCTGGAAGAAAATGGAATGACAGTGAAATGGCCTTAGAGCTTAATCCCCGACCCTTTGGGGAGCAACAGTGGAATTCCCTGAAGAGCCCCACATTCGTATGAGAGTAACAGCCCCACACGCATGGAGCCGGAGCAGACCAGCTGAGCTTTGAGGAAAGCCTTGAGGTTTACAGCTGCGGAGGCTGAGCCCCTGGGGGCAGGGACTTGTCCAGAGTCACCCAGCGAGATTCCAATTCCTTGTATGGAAAGTGAGGATATGGAGCTTATTCTCTCAGCACAATGGTCTCACCTGGACCATTTGTGACTTCATTTACTGAGGAGCTGGCAACTACTCTGATCAGTCCAAGGAATTCTCTTTCCTCTAAATTGTTTTAGAAGCAAAACCTCAACTCATCTGCACACAGTGGAGCGGGCACTGCCAGTGTGGAATTTTGGAAAGTGACCAGCACAGGGAGATGGGGACTGTGCTCCTGCTTCTCATAAGTCACAATCAGGGCCGCAGTTTCCCCTCTGGTAAGTGGGGCGTGGGCCAGAGCATGGGGTCTCGAACTAGTCCATGTAGCAGAGCATCAGCGTGTTCATTGCAGGACCCCCAGGAAGTGTCAGTCACCAGCAGTCACCTGTGCTGAGCACCCTGCATTCATCTTATCAATCAATCCTCTCAGCAATCTCTGCAGTGGGAACTATTACTGTTCTCATTTCACAGATGAGGAAACTGAGGCTCAGAAAGGCGATTAAGCTAGTGGTGGTGAAGCTGGGATTCTACCTAGGTCTACCTGGTCTAAGGGCCATTCTCTAGATGACTTCTCCATCTTTAATTCCATCCAATGGCCCAGGAACTATTTCACCTATGAGCAGTATCTGATTTGTGTAATTAGAACACATCAAAGGTGTACGTAATAAGCAGCTATGCTCTTGCAGAAACACAGGCAGCTGCTCCTGAGATTTCCTTGTGTGTTTGTTTTGTCGTCTATGACAGCATCAGGGGCTCGGCCCATGAAGGCTCTGGCTGTGGGGTCTGCCCCCAGTCACCCCCTCCACCTGCCTGTGACTCACAATGATGTCCCCCCCTCTGACAAACTGCAGGCGCATCTGGAACACGGTGATGTCCAGAAGGTAGATGAGGTCACACAGGTAATCCATCAGCAGCCAGAGATGGATGTTGTCTGGCGTCTGGTAAGGGAAGGCCCAGCGTACAGGGATCAGCCAGCAGTTCCAGTTCCAGGCCAACACCACGAAGAACAGCCACAGGACGTACATCAGGTCTGTGGGGAAAGGCGGGACAGGAACATGCTAGAATGTCAGCCAGAGTAGGGCTATTCACTGGTGGGGCAGGTGGGGCTTTCTTCGTCTGCACTTTCCTTCAAGTACTACATATGGCACTTTTGTAACTTTGTGCATGTGCACTTTGTAACTCTGTGCATGCATGTGCATGCATGTGTGTGCATGTGTGCACGTGTGCGTGTGTGTACACACGTGTGGGCATGTGTGTGTGCACGTGAGCACATGTGCGTGTGTGTGTGTGTGTGTGCACATGTGTGCGTGTAAAACCATCTGTGCTTTAAAACTAAATCACTGCTAGGACCTACTAAATCAGAATTCTCTGAGGAGGGGATACGGTGACTAACTAGAAAACCTGTTTGTTTTTGTTTTTCTTGAAATTTTTCCAAAAATGTATTTCCTGCTTTAATAAATACAGAATAGCAAATAATGCAGGGAGGATGGACAGACAGGTGAGTGGATGAAAGTATGGGTAGACAGACACTGTGGTTACCTGGTCACTTTAGAAACCCAATGGACATCAGGGTTGGAATCCTGCCCCCAAATGACTTCTTGTACCATCTTAAGAAAGTCCCCTCCTGGCACCTGCCATGCCCTTTTCAGAGAAGCCACAGGAAAATGTCAGATAAGAAGAGCAGGGAGGCCCTTTGTAAACTGTAAAGTGCAGTGCACATATGAAATGGTGTTATATCTGAGGAATATGGAAAGGGCTTAAAGGAAAGTGAGAGGAATTCACTTTAGATATTGGAAGAACTCCTGCCCTTTTCTGTTCAGAGTAGGAGCTCCGGGAAAAAGCTGGCATGACCAAAATAGAAAGAAGACTTGGCCAAGAGTCAGGAGTCCTGGGTCTGCACTGACGAGTTGTGTGTTTAGGCAGGTTAACCTCTCTGTGCCTTAGTTTCCTCATCTGTAAGATGGATGTGATCTTATGTTCCTATACCAGGGACTTTTGTTGTTGTTTATTTGTTTTAAGAATCAGGTGAGGAAGTATGGCTTCGTTTTGAAAAGTATAAGAGGTGACAAACCTAGGACATCTGTGGCTCCCACCCTGCCTTGTATATTCTCCGACCCTCTCTGCAACCCTCCCACTCTCCTGCCTGCTCCTATTACACAGTGGGAACACCCATGCCCACCCAGGACTCACTGGTCAGAGGATCAATGCTCTGGGGAAACTGGTACATCTTCCAGGGGCGGCGTTTGAACTTGCAGCACAGCATGTCGCAGTAGTGCTCCTCCTCCACCTGCCCCACATCAGCAGGCTTGGTGTCTGGGGCTGGCTCTGGGGCTTTCTTGGCTGGGGCTGTGGGATGACATTGGTGAGCACTTGACCCAGCCCAGAGCCCAAGTAGAGGGTGCAGAGAGAAGGGTCCCAACTGCAGACCCTGGAACCAGAGCCGAAGGGACCCCAGACACCATCCCTCAACCAGCTGAAAGCTCTGTGTGCAGAAACTGAGGTGCTCTCCTGGAGGGAATCCCACAGCTCCCTCTTCAACAGCAATCTGGGACCCACCCAGAAACTCTTACTAGCTACCAATCAGGAACTGCTTCTCAGAAACTGCCCTAAATAAGGTGTTGCTGGGCAAATTGGATGTTTCAGTGTCTGCTTGTGTGTCTGTGTTTGGAACCCTTTGGTTTCCTCTGACAGGTTGGGGGCATTTTGTACCCAGTGTTCCCACCACTCAGGGTCAGAATGGTGAAGGGCCCAACAAAAATCAGGGAAACAACATTGCTCCAGCTTTCTCCGAGTAGGAATCTTGGTTCTTTCATCTTTAAAAAAGAGAGATTGTAAGGGATCATAGCCTCCCTGTGCATCTGTGCTGATGCTCACAGTGCCCAGAGACTGGCTCTTACAGGTTCAGTATGGCTATGTCTCTGGCTTTAGGACTGTGAAGTCGGCTTTGCTAGGTCCATTGTGGACATCACAATTCCAAGGCACAGCCTCCTCTAGAAAGACTTGGGAAGTCTCCCTGACAAGAGAGCATGTTTCTATTTCCTCCTGACACTTTGAAAGAAAGGAAACTTTCAGGCAGCACCATAAGAACTTTCAAGGCACTGAGGCCTCTGAAAGATGAGACTGTCTGGTTCCAGAGTAGGCTGTGGACACCATCTGAGTATAAGACTGTGAGATGCATCCCAAGGTGGCACCACCCACCTGCTAGTGGGAGAGGAACAGAGAGTCAGTGAAGGTCCTTGCCCTGTGGGAGAGGGAGCCAAGTACAGCCAGAGTGTTGGTCAGAGCTTTGACCTTTGTCCCACCCCCGGGCACATAGTTAAACCTGCATTTACAGGGCCCAACATCCAGAGAGAGAAGATCTGGGCTTCTCTCATCTCTCATGTGCCCCACCCATTTCCTTAGGTTACTCTCACCATTAGTTGAGAGGGGGCTTTGGGGGTCCCACACCATCCCTAGACATGTGGGCCACCTCCAGCTCCACACTCACAGGGCTTGGGACTCTCCTCGTCGGAGGTGACGTCGGGGTCGATGAGCTTCTCCTTCACCTTCTCTGTCCGCTCCTTGAAGAGCTTCACCAGCTCCTGGAGCCGTTCATTGATGATGGCACTGTTCTGGCTGGCCGTGGAGGCCGCACGGTCCTGTCCACTGTGGGAATACCATGCAAAGCTGAGCAGGCTGAGCAGGGAAGGGACCCCTGTGTCCCCAGGCTAGAGCCTGGCAGCATCTGTGTCTCATCTCCTAGCAGAGCCAGAAGGAGGTAAATCCTGCTCTTGATTCTTCTGACATCAGAAACATCAGACATACTTCAATATCCCCTGGGAAGCAGCCTCCCTGCAGGGACTACACTTCCCAGGCAGGTGTGGCCGTGTGAGTGCTGCCCACTGGAATGTGAGCAGATAGGATAATGTACCTCACTGCTGAAGAGGGGCCTGGTGGGGTGGGGTTTTCTCTTCCTAGTGCTGACAGGTGGGAATCTTGGAAGCCACATGGAGAAAGAAGGTGGCAGAGCCACTGGCAGCTGGGTCCCTAAATGATTGCATGCAGCAGCGATTTCCACTGACTTGAAACACACACCTAGTAAAATGACTATGACATATGAGACACCCTCTTTCTCCTTAAGCCACTAACCTTTGTGGTCTATTTGTTACAGCAGCTTAGCCTGCCTAGCTAACACACAGGTCTCCATGTTGATCTTGCTAAGAGTTTTCAAGGGAAATTTTTCATATTACACCTGATTTCTACTCATTTTCTGGTATTAAACCCTGAACCTATCCCTCCTCTACAGCATAAAATGTGCCTCCACTGTTTGCTAAAATGGGCAGCTGGACCATGGGTGAAGTTTAGGGTTTTCTTCCTGCTTCTTTATCTTTTCTGAACTGTACACAATTCATTAAGCATAAACTGCATAAAATTATGGATAGAAAAAAAGACTGGAAGGGGGAAGGAAAGCCTAATGCCTCCTGTGGTCAGTCAAGGAGTCGTGCCTGGGGAGCGTGGCAAGGGTTCCAGGCCAGAGGCCAGGGCTAAGTCTGCTCAGACCCCTCAGACAACACCTCCCATTGGGCCAGCCCTTGGGACACTTAGAAGATGTCAGAGACTCAGGTCCTAATACCATCACGACGGTCTCTAAACATTGTCTTACAGACCAGCTGCGTCAGATCACCTGGGGAGCTTGTGAAAATGTGGATTCCCCAGGACCCGCTGTCTGAGGTTCTGACCCAGCAGCTCTGGGTGGGACCTGGAAATCTGTATGTTAACAAGTTCCACGGTCAGCACCCACTGGAAATCCTTGTGGTCCTCCCTCTCCCCACTGAGCCTTTCAGGGATTCAGTACCAGGAGCCCCTGCTGGTGGCTCCCCTCAGTCTCTTCTTTACCAGGGGACCTCTGCCTACAGAGACCTCCTTCTCTGAGCACTGCTGGCCACAGACACAGCTGGGCCCAGAGTCCAAGTCCATTCTGCAGACTTTGCAGGACTCCCAGGCCAACCAGAAGCAGCCTGGGCAGGAGACCTGCCCTGTCTTACTGCTCGGAATCCACTGGCAAAGTCCACCTTGCGGGAGACAGTTCTAAAACACCCTTGCTCCCCCCACCCACCTCCCCTCACTCTCCCATCCCCACCCAGGCTTCTGACTCTCTGAGACCCCAGAGGCAGCCCCCACTCACTCGGTGTTCTGAGGGGTGGTGGGGTCTGACCAGGCCAACACCGGGGACTCAGCTGGGGACAGCGCCTTGAGCTCTTCATCCTCATCATCCTGAGAGGGCAGCTTCTTCCTGCAAGGACACAGACATGGAAGGGCCTTCAGCAAGGGCAGGGTCCCAGGGGGAAGTGAGACGGCTTTGACTAGAACTGATACCTGGGTAGAAAGTGGGAGATGGTGCAGCCAAAGGGTCCTCATTTGCCTGTAGGGAAGCAAAAATGGAGAAGAGAGGGGCACAGCCACCCTGTGGACCTCAGTCTCCACATCTGTTCAATGGCCTCTCATAAAGGTAACAGCACTGACTTGAGTTTGCATCCCAGTCCTGCCTCTTACCCATGTGCAACCTTGGCAAATTACTTAACTCTCTGAGCCCTCTTTAAAACGGGGCTAAACCTACCCAACTGAATGCGATACCTACCACGCAGTCAGATCTCAGCTTAAACTTCCTTCCGTCCCTCGAGTTCCCAGTCTGAAGTCATCCTCTTTCCTACCTCACCCCCCTCCATTCTCCATCACACCACCATTTCAGTGGTTGGAGAAGGCCATGGAATCCAGTCTCCAGCTCACGGTGTGACTTTGGGCAAGTCCCATCCCCTCCTGCACTGCAGGTTCCCTCTCTGAAGAGTAAAGACTAAATTATGCCTGGGGCCCCCTATTATTCAAGAAGTCTGAGCCTTGCCATAGAATGCATAGAGTCATTAGTATCTTGGCCAATAGTGTCTCGGTCTTAAATCCACCTGGATTTCAGAGACAAAAAGGTTTTTGCCCAACCTACCCCTGGCCTGAGGTCAGCAGGTTAGAGTCCAAGCAGTCTGACTTGGTGAGAGAGGTGCCTTTTATACTATTTTACATTGGCATATTAGGGGAAACTCCAGCCTGGTCTCCATATGCCACCTCCCCGCAGCTGGAGAGTCAGAGGAGGAGTCTCCCTCCGATCCTTTCTTTGGGAAGCATACCCCAGAGCCAAGCCCTGAGCTGCCAACACCTGACAAAACCTGCACATCTTCCCAAGAAGCTCACATCAGCAAAGGTTCCTACTTCAACTCCGGAGGGCCACTCACAGAGCTGGGCAGGAGGACACTGGGGATGGGGCTCACCAAGGGCCAGGCTGAGCCACACCAGTCACTGTGCAGATACAACACTCAGCGGGGACTCAAATCAAGTCTTGCCAGGCCTCCAGACCAGCACTCTTCCCCAGCCTCAGCCACTGTGACCCAGGACTCCATCATTAGGGCTCTTAGGGGGATACAGAGGAGGGCCATGCAGCACCCACTTTTATTCCAGAAGGCTGTGAAACTATCCTGTTACCCTCTGCCAACCCGCCTAGGGTGGCAAAACTCATGGATTCACCTCTTTTACACTCTGTCCTCCTGCGTCCTGCCCACCAGTGCCCCCTCCCAAGCCTGGAGAGCTCATGCTGCTCTGGAGAACCCACAAAGAGGACCTGAGCTGGTGGCTCCTGTCCCCCAGCACCGCCCAGTGCCAACACCACCCAGTGCCAGCACTGCCCTGAGCACCTCGTGCGCAGCAGCTTTCTCACCACAGCTCCAGTGGACAGGCGCTCCTTCTATCCCATCTTAATGGGAAGATGGAGGCCTAGGAAGGTTAAATGGCTTGTCTCAAGGCCCACATCTGCTAAGAGGTGAGCGGGATTCATTCCAGACCACATGGTCACTCCAGACCACAGCCTTCAGCTGCAAGAAGGGCCTTGCCTGAGAGCCCCGCCGTTGGGGCCTGTGGTTGCTGTGGCTTTTCGGCTCCCATCCATTGCTCCCAAAGCTCTTTTGGTCCCTGCCCACCCTCAGCGCCCCCGCCTCTCGTGTCAGCACTCAGAATCCTCCCCTCTCTGGGTTAGGCTCAGACAGAGGCTCCCGAGAGCCCAGTTCTCATAGTCACGTTCAACCTAGCCCATGTTTGTTTATTCGGCTACTTTTTCATTGTCGATCCCGGCCCCACTAGAATGTCAGTGCCAGGAGGGCAGGCCCCTGGCAGGCTTCCCTTGATTTATGCCCAAGACTTAGAGCAGAGCCTGGCACACAAGAATGTTCAGTAAATATGTGTCGATGAATGGATGATGGGGACAAGAGGAACCTCACAGGCCCAGCTCATAAGCAGAAGACACGAGGTGTGGATTCTATGCCCACATGATCTTTGTCCCCTCCCTGTCCCTAAATATGCCCCCCAGCCTGGTCTATATAGTTTCCCTGCCCATATAACCACTCAGCAGCAAATTTATCTCAAGAGGGGGTAGAAATGAGCTCTGTCACATTTATTACACATTATTATATTATTTACAGTTATATTACTCCACTAACCTACAGCTGAGGGTATTTGGAACAGGGCCTCCTAGGAGAGATCTTATAAAGAGCCCTAAGCCAGTAATTAGGAGAACCAGCAAGGGGGGTCATTGTTCCAATCCTTATACCAACTCGCTATGTGACTTTGGAACAGCAGCTTTCCCTCTCTGGCCTCAGTTTCCTCATCTGCCAAATAGGCAGGTGGCCCAGTGCTGAGAAAAGCCCAAGAGAAGCATAAATGGTGACCTGTGCATCCCCAGGGCTGAGCCCGGGACCGTGAGGGTGTCGGATTTGGCAGGAGAAGGTGGCAGCAGCTCAGGCGAGGGTGGATTCTCCTCCGTGATGAGGGGATGGGTGACAGCATCAGTGTCTTCCACCTGCACTTCTGGGTGCTCTTTCGTGGCAGGCACTAGGGGAGAGGAAGGAGAGGAGGGAGTCAGAGAGAGAGAAAAGCCAGGTGCCAGAGGCATGCTGTGTTCTTGAAGGAAGCCACCAAGTGCATGTGTGGCAGGGCCCCTGGCAGCTTCACCCCCAGCAAAGCCCACTGGAAAGCTCCATGCAGGGGTGCAAGAATGCAGCACTTGAGGTCTTCTGAGGGCCACAGCCACCCCAACTACCAGCCCAAAAGAAGGCACAACACCACGGAAGCCACAGGAGCTCATGTCACAGGCTGGAGCCCAGCTCTCCAAAGTGCAGCCTTGCTTTCTTGAGCCAAGAAAAGCAACAAGGACCTGGGGGTTGGGGGGTAACACTCAAAGGGACATGGGGAGCCTAGAGGAGCTGGGGTACTGGGGCCTGGCCTAGCACAGCCTGGGTCAGTTGCTTCCCCTCCTGAGCCTCAGTTTCCCCATCTCAAGGTAGGGGTGACAATGCCTTCCCAGGCCTCTGAAGATTGAAGAGCTTCAAATGGAGACATTTGGAGCTTTCCTCCAATGAAGGGCATCAGACTGACTTTGTAGGATGTGTTACCCCTGTTCAGGTACCTGCTTTGACATTTCCTTGTTTTTGTACATGACAGGAGCCTCCAAAATGCATCAGCCAGCCTGACTCTGGACCTCTGAGATGCCTGGTGCTGTGTCTCACATCCTCAGAATCAGGTCCTCCCTGGGGAGCCTGGGCATGGCCCTGTCTCAAGCTCCATCACCTACCTTAGGGACTGAGGGAACAGGTCTGCCCCAGGGCCAAGCTCAGAGGATGGTGAGGGGATGGCCTGACTCCCCACTGCAGCTGGGCAGGATCACCCTTCAACAACGAGGCACAGGTCTGGGCACCAGCAAGGCAGGAGCACACCCCCCAAAATGGGGCTGGGGAACATTTTGAAATAATTAGATATGTGATTTAAAACAAACACAAAAAACTAGCCATCATGGGAAAAGCCAGCACTTTTTTGGCATTTGTTCTACTAAACTCTAAATCCTCCAAGGAAGAGAATGAATGGGAATTGAGAAGTTGCTAAAAATTTAAAGAAGAAGCTTTAGGACAAGCGATCCCCCAGGCTCTGGGAAGGAGGACCGTGAAGTAGAGGGGTCCTCACCCTACTTCACAGCAGGCCCAGAGAGGTCAGCTGCAAGAGGGACAGGTGCAACGGGGACTTAAAGGCAGCCAGGACATGGGCATCCTCTCAGACATGCTCAGGGCCCCAGTGTGGCCGCAGACAGCAGAAAGCACCCTGGCCTCAGTCACCAGGAGGCTGCCGCGGGGAGCCTGGGCAAGGCGGATGTCCCCACCCCCACCCCAGCCTGCTGCCTTGCCCTCTCCCAGGAGAGGAGGGAAAACCCCAGGACCGGTGCTTCATTTCTCGCCAGCTTAGCAGTGTAGGAACTCAAAAGAGAAACGTTACTGATTTAAACTAAGAATAGTATTACTAAAGATATAAAGAATGACATTGTATTATTAAATTGGTTTAGAGCACACTATTTACTGTTAAGCACTTCCTATATGCCTGCCAGGCATTTGTTTTACTAAATTCCAAGTGCTTTATATATATTAACTCTTTTTTTTTTTTTTGGTGGCTGGCCCATACAGGGATCCGAACTCTCGACTTTCGTATTATAGCACCACGTTCTAACCAGCTGAGCTAACCAGCCCGCCCTGTATTAACTCGTTTAACCTTCCTAGCTGCTCTATGAAGTGGCTGCTATCATTGTCCCCATTTTGTGGCTAAGGAAACTGAAGCCCAGGGAGGTTAAGAAATCTGCTGCAGAGCCAAGATTTGGACCCAGGCAGCCACAGAGGTTCAACTCTGACCTCCCCCTGAGGTTGATGGCCAGCGTACACAGAGGCCTCTGTTAAAACCATATCTCAGCTCAGAGGGTGTCCAAGCAGCATCACTGAATTGGGAATAATGTTCTTACTAAATCTTCTCATAGATGTTTGACCATATACGTAGCATTTAAAATCATCATGTGTCATGCCACAGTTGGGTCAGTCCACTGTTCCAAAGTGTCACTGGGAACATTTCTCAAAGTGTAGGGCTCTCAGGGACCGGGGGGGACAAAAGATGATTTTAGATGGTACAGACAAGGCAAAGGATAACATAGAATGAGAATGTGACTTTCATTTTAATTCTTTCTAGATCCTGAATACACAGAGAGGAAGTCCCAGGTTAGTGCTGCTATGGCCTTAACACCTCTCTGACACAGCCTAATCCTCCTTTTGGATAAGAGAGCAGGCCTCACTGTGAGCCTTCAGAGGCCACCGTATCTCATTAGAAACTATCAACACTATTTTGTTTTCAGTGTACTTATGGCTATTTCTATTTATGTCTTCTACTATGGCACACAATGCTGGTTTTCCATTTGAGTAGTAAAAAAAGTTTTCCTGTTTTATTTTATTTATTTATTTATTTATTTATTTTTTAAAAAGATGACTGGTAAGGGGATCTTAACTCTTGACTTGGTGTTGTCAGCACCACGCTCACCCAGTGAGCTAACCGGCCATCCCTATATGGGATCCGAACCCGTGGCCTTGGTGTTATCAGCACCGCACTCTCCCGAGTGAGCCACAGGCCGGCCCCAGAGTTTTCCTGTTTTAGATACACTTAAATTTAAAAGAGGATCAGTGAAAGGAAAATAGTAAGCAAATAAAAGTAGAGTTGGTGGAGAACACAATAATAATTAGGGAGAGACAAGTGGGGGCGGGAATTGGGGGATCCTTTGGAGTAGTAGATTGAAGCCTTGCCTCTCAGAGGATGGAGACTGGGGGTGTCACCCCTTGTTGCAGGGATGATCCACATGCCACCCCACCCCCCACTCTGTGCCCACCTCAAGCCAGGAAGAGGAGAAAAGGACGACAGTGGATAGCTTCTCATGAAATGTTCAGTTCTACCTGCTTGGACTGATCTCAGGCAACCTTGCACAGTGCCAACCAAAAATAAACAAAGAAACCAAGACAGAAAGTGGGCAGGTCTGGCTTGGTCTAAGGCAGAAAGTGACAGATTAGTTGAGAGGTGTCAGTGTATTCCTGAACATTTTGTCATCAGGCAGCAGTAGCCTGAAGCCACTATGAGGGCTTTGTCACAATTAAATGGATCCAGATAGGCCCTCCTTCTACCCTGTCCCCTGAGGACGCCTCTCCTCCTTGTCTTCCTGCCTGCACCTGGAAGCTTATTTCCTGAAATGGAATTTTCTGAACAGATATCAATAGTCTTCAGAAAGTCCAGCTCTCAGCAAACTCTCACAGTCAGTAGCTTCTATTTGCAGTGGGCGCCCACATCACTCTTCTATTCTAAAAGGAGGGATCCTTTTACTGTCCCTCCGCAGTTCCCTGCCCAAGCCTTTTAGCCCGAAGATCTGAGCGAGTGACTTGTTTAAATTAGGGTGTGTGACTATCTGTATAAAACCGATGACCTGCAGAAAACAATGCACAACCCAAAGAAATAAATTGCTAATTGTGGAATTTTAAGTGAGGGAGAAGGGAACTAAAACCCCTTAAGTCACCACCACAAAGCAGGCATTGATCAGCAGAGGAAGAGGGAGTGATTTTCCGTAAGTACAACCAGTGGTCCCACACCGTGACCATGGCATTCATGCGGGAATACAGCCCAAGCCATGCAGAAGCACACGCCACGGCATGAGCATGCTGGGTGGCCGAGATCACACTACCTAGGCAACGAATGGAGCTCCTGGTCTCCTTGGCGAAGCTGGAGTTGGACAAGGTCGTTCTCCGGGAGATGAGGACAGGGATGCGGGTGACTAGGGGGCGGTAGCTGGGCACATTGGGGAGGTGCTCGGCCAGGTAGGTAGGGGCAGGCCTGGGGGGCACTTGGCCAGGTGGCTGGTCCTGGACCAGGCAATTCAGCTCCATGTCCCGACCTGGTTTAGCCATGGTGCTGCGGCCAGAGGGTCTCAGGCAGAGGCAGAACCCTGAGGACTGCAATCATGAGCACAGAGTTGGGAGAGGCAATGTAGGTGGGGTCCTTCCCCCAGCATCAACACAGACCAACCTGGTGCTTTCCTGTGTTTGCAGCAGCTCTGCTCAAGATCTGAAATGTCACTCTTGTCCCTGGAGTTCAACATCTAAAGCATCATCAGATCATGTTTCTGGGCTGCCCAACAGCTCCAAGGGACAGCCCTGGAGCCCCCCCAACTTCTCAGGCTCTCTCTACTTACCAACCACCAGTAGCATTTCCCATCTCAGACTCAAAAAGAGTTAGAATGAAAAACCCAGAACTCATAGACTCTCAGACTCTTAGACCCAAAGAACCTGGACACAAATGTTCTTAGCTCAGTAGAATTTTCCAGTCAAAGAAACTCTGGAAGTTAATTAATTTCACTCCCCTAGACCCTGGTTCTCAAACTGGGCTGCACATTGGAATCACCTGGGGAGGTTTGAATATTTCTTCTGCCCAGGAACATCCCCAGAGATTCTGATATCATGGACTAGAGTTAGGCCTGGCACCAGGAATTTTTAAATCTCCCCAAATGATTCCAATGTGCAATCAAGTTTGAGAACCAGGGCTCAAGGCTACTGCCTCTCAAACACCAATGTGCAGACAAATCAACAGGAGATCTTGTTAAATGCAGATTATGATTCAGCAGATCTGGAATGAGTTCTGAGATTCTGCATTTCTGACCAGCTTCCAGGTGATGCCAAAGCTTCTGGTTCTAGGTCCATACTTCTGAGGAATGATGGACTAAAGGCTGTGCCTCCGCGTTTCTCAGAGCACCCGCTTCCAGATGCATGCAGAAGGGCGCAGAACCAGACTGCAGAATCTGCATCTGCAACTGGTTGGTCCTGGTCATATTCATCTGTGGGGGGCCCAACATCAGGCCTGGACTCAGTAGGTTTACTACAGATGTGTGTAGAAGTTAACAGAGAACCCTCTTCAAAGACCAGGTGGGGAGCAAGCGCTAGACACCCAGGGTTAGGACACCTGCGTCCGGTTCCATCTCAGTCTCTGGCTTCTGGGACACAAGCCTCACCATCCCCACTATCGACTCCTCCCTCCGTGCCAGCCAGAGTGCTGGGTGCCCTTGACACAATGTCTCCCCTGTGGGGAGGGTACTAATTATTACTCTGTTTTTCTTGATTTGGGAGCAACAGTTCAGAGAGGTCACAGAACGGGCTCTGGGTCACACAGTGAGGATGAGGAAGAAGAGCCGGCAGTGAAACACAGATCTGTGCCTCGACCTTTTGGCCAAATCTGACACACCCCAAGCCTTTGTTTTCTCATTTGTGACATGGTCTGTCTGCTGCACAGTGTGGCTGAAGCACCAGTGGCTTGGTGAACGTGGAGATGGGGCAGGCCCCAGGCCCTGCCAGCCAGGGCTGGGTGTCCATCTGTCCCATGCTCCACAGCCCAGCTCTTGCTCGGTGTCCCTGGACTCTTTCCCCACCATTCCTGGAGTTCTCAGGATTAGGAAGAGGGTGTGTGTTAATGCTAGCTGGGTACCGCCTGGAGATCCTAGCAGTCAAGAAAAGCTCATAAAGAGATCTGGGTCTAGGACACACCGTTTGCAGGCTCTGATCCCAATTTTCACTCAAATATGTTATGTCTGAGCCAAACTCTCTCTGAGCAGTAGCCCAAAAAGCTGCATTCCCATCAAGAAGAGGTGGCAGGAGGGTTGGCTGGGAATAGGGTTTCCCCAGCCCCGTGAGAGTCTTGGGGTCTTAGCATAATTCCCCTAGGGTCTTTGAATGCATCATCCCCAGACACAAAGGAGGGGTTTTGCCTGGGGTGGGGGGTGGGAAGCCTGGCACGGGGGACAACAGAGGAGTGGATGGAGGGAGAGGAAGAGGTGTTGCCCCTGCACCAAGGCTGCCCTCAGCTAGAAAGTGTCCCAGACATTCTTGTGTAACACCACCGCCACCACCACCAACCCACACTTACCTCCTGAGCTGGTGGCCACAGCTTCCTCCTGCAGCTCCTGCAAAGAATGAAGTGGAAATAGAAGCTGTTTCCTAGCCTTAGTCTAACCAATCTGCCTTCAGGGGTCCTCATGGGCCCCAATTCTATTCCTTGCCCTGCCCAGCCAGTCAGCCCCTGTCAGTCACCTTCTGGGGTATCTGGCAGCCTACAACCTGTAGAGGGCAGTGCACACAGGCCTCCCAGGCCCTCATGCCTAACACTTATGGTGAGGTCCTAACACCTAACAACTAATGTGTATGATGAGGTGACTCCCCGTGCCCCACTGTACATGTGGAGACAGAGCAACTAAAGCAGCCACCACAGGACTCCCCACCCCAGGACCACACTTCACAGTGTACGAGCCCTTTCTAGATCCTCCTATAAACCCCAGGGAGACATTCATAGCCCCATTTTACACAGGCAGACACAGAAGCCCAGGGTGGGAGGCGACTTGGCCAAGTCAGGCAGCCACATGAGGACTAGAGCCCAGACCCTTCCTGACAGCATCTGACTCCTGGTAGGAGCAGGGCCTCACAGGACCTACCACCTTGCTCCCCTCTGTTCTATGGGCATCTCACCAGCCAAAAATCCCCTGTAAACAAAGTGGACAAGACCCTAGCCCTTCTGCCAATGCCAGCCTGGGCCTCAGAGGAGCTCTGGGTGCCTGAGGCTTCTCATACCTGGGGTGAGGCCCTCTGGTGCTGGGTCTCGCCTACTGCACTCTGGTCCTCACTGGCCTGTGACATTAAACAGCTATCCAGCAGGAAACTGTGATCCCTAGGGACAGGAGGAAAAGAGTGTTAAACATTTCCTGCACCGTGCTGAATGACAGGCTCTGTGCCAGGAGCTGGGGGCACAGAAATGCCCAAGGATGGGTCCTCATCCTCATGAGTCTCCCAGGGCTGTGAAGGACATGCTGGAGCTCTGCTAGGAAGGAGGGCTTCCTGGAGGAGGTGGACTGTAAGCTGGGCCTCAAGGATGATTTCACCACAAGGAGTAGGTGGAGAAGGGTATCCAGGAAGGTGGAATAGCATGGGCCAAAAAAAGCATGGAGGACATTTGGAGGAGCTGTCATCTGGGACGTAGCCCAAGGGGCACCATATGGTGCTCAGAATATATGCCCACGATTTTCCCCAAGAGCCCCAAAGCAACCTTGGTGATGCAGGCTGGGCAGAAAGTGCTTAAAAAGTGAGGCCCAGAGATGTGAACTGACATGGCCAAAATCACACAGCAGATTGTCCCAAACCACACAAACCTTGAACCCAGGCCTTGGTTCTTTCCACACCATGAGGTAAGAGCCACGCTGCACCTGTTGAAGGTTTCAGGGGTCCCTGGCCCAGGCAGCAGGCATACCTGAGTGATAGGGTCAGGCGTGAGGCTGCAGGAGGCACAGAGGACTGTGGCGAATCAGAGAACTTGCATCCATCTGAAGGCAGCAACCCCACTACACTTGTAATGGGGGCCCAGGGTGGCTAGATCTTCCAGTTTTCAAAAGGAGCCTGAACTTCATGTTTTTAAAGTGGAATTTCCTGATATTTAGATGCTGATAATTCAAACTAATATATCTATATTAATTTGTAGATATCTAAAAGAGCCTATCTCCAGGCTAAATTGGTCCCTTAGATGTCTGTGTGCAATCTCTGGGTTAAAATGATGACTTAGGACCAGGCGTTAATGTGATTCTTGTAGTTAGAATTAGTCCCTGCTTTGTAACAGCTCTATACCACCTCTCAGACCCCTGTTAGCAAGGGGCTCATGAAGTGTGCTCTGGGGGGTCTGCCACCCAGAAAACCCAGATTCACAATTTCTCTTCCTAGACAGCCACGTCTCAGCCCTCACGAGGTGGGCAAAGAGGTAGGGGCAGATGGAGCCCAGTAGGTTTAAAGCCAGCCACCTGAGAGCAGGAATAAGCCCACAACCATAGTGCCACACAGTGCTAGGCACTGTGACAAGCACTTTACATGCAATGTCTCCCTGAATCCTCATGTAAATAACTCTGAGAAATCTATAAATGTGATACACCACTTTAAAAGAATGAAGGGCAAAAACCACATGATCATCTCAATACATGCAGAAAAAGCAGTTGAAAAATTCAATACCCTTTCATGATTAAAAACTCAACAAGTTAGGTATGGAAGGAAAGTACCTCAACACGATAAAAGCCATATTTGACAAACCCACAGCTAACATCATACTCAAAGGTGAAAAATTTAAAGATCTTCCTCTGAAATCAGGAACAAGACAAGAATGCCCCCTCTGGCCATGTCTATTCAACATAGTATTGGAGGTCCTAGGCAGAGCAACTAGGCAAGAAAAAAAATAAAAGTCACCCAAATTGGAAAGGAAGTAGTTAAATCATGCCTATTTGCAGATGACTTGATCTTATATCTAGAAAACCCTAAAGACTCCACCAAAGAACTGTTAGAACTGATAAACCAATTCAGTAAAACTGTAATACATAAAATCAACATTCAAAACCCGGTAGCATTTCTGTATACTAACAACAAAATATCTGAAAAAGAAATAAAGAAAACAATCCCATTTACAATAGGTACAAAAAAATTACTTAGGAATAAATTTAACAAAGGAGACAAAAGATCTGTACACTGAAAACTATAAAACATTGATGAATGAAACACAAGACAAAAATAACTGGGAAGATATTCCATGTTTGTGGATGGGAAGGATTAATATTGTTAAAATGTCCATACTACCCAAAGTGATCTACAGATTCAGTGCATCCCCTATCAAAATTCCAATGGCAACTTTTACAGAAATAGAAAAACAATTCTAAAATTTATATGGAACCAGAAACGACCCCAAATAGTCAAAGTAATCTTGAGAAAAACAAAACAAAACAAAGGTGGAGAGCTGGAGGCATCACACTAGCTGACTTCAAAATATACTACAAAGCTATAGTAATCAAAACAGCTTGATGCTGGCATAAAAATAGACACATCAACCAATAAAACAGAATACTCAGAACAGAAATAAATCTATGCATTCATGGTTTAGTGATCTTCAACAAAGTTTCCAAGAGAACACAATGCAGAAAGGACAGTCTCTCCAATAAACAGTATTTGGACAACTGGTTATCCACATGCAGAAGAATGAAATTGGACCCTCATCTCACATCATATACAGTCGTCCTTCAGTATCCGTGGGGGATTGGTTCCAGGACCCCAGTGAATACCAAAGTCCATGGATCCTCAAGTTTCTTGTATAAAATGACGTAGAATCTTACACAATGCAGAAAGGACAGTCTCTCCAATAAACAGTATTTGGACAACTGGTTATCCACATGAAGAAGAATGAAATTGGACCCTCATCTCACATCATATACAGTCGTCCCTCAGTATCCGTGGGGGATTGGTTCCAGGACCCCAGTGAATACCAAAGTCCATGGATCCTCAAGTTTCTTGTATAAAATGACGTAGAATCTGCATATAATCCACACACATCCTCCTGTATACTTTTTACATGTAGTACCTAATACAATGCCTACACATCACTTCATTTGCATAGATTCAACATAGCACGTGATGTGTGACAAATTCATGTTTTGCTTTTTGAAACTATGTAATTTTTTTTCTGAATATTTTCGACCTGTGGTTGGTTGGATACATGGATGTGGGACCCATGGATATAGAGCACAGACTGTACAAAAATCAACTCAAATTGGGTTAAAGACTTACGTGCAAGATTTGAAAATATTAAAATGTTAGGAGAAAATGTAGAGGGAAAGCTCCATGACACTGGTCTGGACAATTTTCTTTTGGATATGAACACCAAAGCACAAGCAACAAAAGCAGAAATAGAGGGCCGGCCCGTGGCTCACTCAGGAGAGTGCAGTGCTGATAACACCAAGGCCCCGGGTTCAGATCCCTATATAGGGATGGCCGGTTCGCTCACTGGATGAGCGTGGTGCTGACAGCACCAAGTCAAGGGTTAAGATCCCCTTACCGGTCATCTTTTAAAAAATAAAAATAAAAAAGCAGAAATAGACAAATGGGATTTAATCAAAGTAAAAATTTTTTAAAAGCTTCTGCATAGTCAAGGAAATAATCAACAGAGTAAAGCGACAACTTATGGAATTAACCAAAAATATTTGCAAACCATGCACCAGATAAGGGGTTAATATCCAAAGGAAATCAAACAACTCAATGGTAAGAAAACAAATAACCTGATTTTTAAAATGGGCAAGGGATCTGAATAGACATTTCTCAAAACAAGACATACTAATGGCCAACAGGTATGTGAAAAAATGTTCAACATCACTAATGATGAGAGAAATGCAAATTAAAATCACTTCATACCTGTTAGAATGGCATTATCAAAAAGACATAAGATAACAAGTGATGGAGAGAATGTGGAGAAAGGGAGCCCTTGTACACGGTTGGTGTGTGTAAATTAGTACTGCCGTTATGGATGACAGTATAGTTTCCTCAAAAAATTAAAAATAGAATGATCACATGATCCAGCAATATCTCTATTGGGCATATATCCATAGGAAATGAAATCAGTATGTTGAAGAGATATCTGCACTCCCACGTTCACTGCAGCACTATTCATAACAGCCAAGACATGGAATCAACCTAAGTGTCCATCCGTGGATGAATGGATAAAGAAAATGTGGATACTACTAAGCCTTAAAAAAGAAGGAAATCTTGTCATTTGTGACAGCATGGATGAACCTGGAGGACATTATGTTAAGTGAAAACACACACACACACACACACACAGAATGACAAATATCACATGATCTCACTTATAGGAGGAGTGTAAAAAAGCTGAACTCATAAAAGTAGAGAGTAGAATGGTGGTTGCCAGGGGCTGGGCAGGGGTGCGGTTGGGGAAAGGTTGGTTAAAGAATGCAAAGTTTCAGTTAGACAAGAGGAATAAGTGCAAGAGATCTAGTGTACAACATGGTGACTATAGTTAATAACGTTTTGTATTCTTGAAAATTGGTCAGAGAGTAGATTTTAAGTATTCTCACCATAAAAAATTATAAGTATGTGAGGTCATGCATATGTTTATTAGCTAGATCTAGCTATTTCACAGTGTATACATATTTCAAAACATGTTGTACACGATAAATATATACCATTTTTATTCTCAATTAAAAAATAAATCAACTTTAAAAAATGAGCCTGAAAAAAAACCAAAAAACAAATAACCCTGAAAGACCAGAGCTGTGGCTGATTCCGCTCCTGCTGAGAAAACAAAGGCTCAGAGAGGTCCGATGGCTGGCCCACAGTCACACAGCCTGGACAAGGCAAACCTGGATAAGACATCAGCACCACTGGCTCCAAGGCCAGCACTAACACTCCATTCTGCTGCCCACCCAAGCGTCTACACAGCCACCACCTGACATGAAGGAGTGGAACAAGTGTCTAGATGATCCAAGCACACGACTCACTTTATTTCTCTTCATTGTATAGACATTTCCATCATGAGGGTCCAGAATTATCAGGGTAATACTTCCCACCCTGCCCACCCAGGAAGAAACAGATTTTCTTATGGAGATTCAAGTTACAGAGGCAGGGCTACGTTATGACTTTCATGGGTCCTGGGCACTTAGTCTTCATGGGCCCTTTCCTCCATAAAACAATATGTTAAAAATTATTTTTGTGACCATATTTGGAAAAAGATTATTGTTACTATTATATTTTTACGACATTATGAGGCTGGCTGGTTAACTCAGTTGGTTAGAGCGCAGTGTTATAACACCAAGGTCTAGGTGTTTGGATCTCCAATACTGGCCAGCGCCAAAAATATTTTAAAAAGTAAAACAAAATGAATAATAAATTTGTCGATTTTAGGGCTGGCCGGTTAGCTCACTTGGTTAGAGTATGGTGCTGATAACACCTACAGCACCAAAGTCAACAGTTCAGAAACCTGTACTGCCCGGCCGCCGAAAAAAAAAAAAAAAAAGACCTTTTATCTAAAAGTTCATTTTTAGGGTGTGATTTTGGAGAAAATTAAAACATTCTCATGGGCCCCTAAAAGTATTCTGGGCACTGTGCCTGTGCCTCATGCACCAGAAGTCAGCCTTGCATCGATGGGTAGAAGACGGCCTTTCCACTGCGAGGGGCTGGCTGGATCCTCCTTTCCCCAGACTGATACAGCTCTCTGCTCAGAGGCTCAGGAAATAAACTACCCACAGTCCCAGCCAGATCCTTCCTGGGGTCCTGCTTATTCTGGCATCAGGCAAGTCACCTGGAAGTCCTCGGGCTGCCCCCTAGTTGCTCATCTGTCAAATGCATAAGACTTGCCCAATGCATCCAGCCTGACTGATGTGAGTGAGGTGAGAAGGGCCAGTGGACTCTCATGCAAAAGTCAAAAAACACTGTCAGGTCCTGTTCTAGTGATTCCTCTGAGTTCTTCAACTCTAAACACTGGTAAGCAGCTTTCCTCACCTGTGGTACCAAGTGTTGACTTTGGAGCGAGCCTGACTTGGGGTGGAATCCCAGTTCTGCCCTTCCTGACAGGGCACCCCCAGACATGCAGGGCACCATCTCTGAACCTCAGTTTTCTCATCTATGAAATGGGTTTAACAATAGAATCTGCCACTCAGGCTGTCTTAGCAGTGTCTGGCATGGAAAAAAGTACTAATCACACAGCAGCTGTTATTATTACTGTTCCTGTCATTATTATTATTAATCCCAGAAGTGGCAGTGATCTGTAGTGTTATGAAATCACCCACATGGATTGGGGATAGTTTTACACAAACATCCCCAGCTATCAAGACACCTAATGAGCCCAATGGTGGCCCTGTTTACATCACCAGGGGCTGTTTTGGGCCCCATGTATCAAAGTCATATCACCCCTGCTCCAGTGTGCCCAGTGCCTGCCAAGGACCCCCTTGCCCAGCCCGGAAGCTGCAGTCCATCAACTTCTAGAAAGTTCCCAAATCCCAGGGATTTCTGAGCAGAGAAACACATAGGAACTAGCTGAGGTGGGCTTCCTGGAGGCCCCCCAACTTTCCAACTTAAAGGCCAGGGGAGTAGCAGTGGCAGCCTGCTTGCAGGATTTACCAGTCCACTCCTCCTCCCCCAAGCCACCCAGCAGGCTGTACCCCTCCAAGTTAAGGTCCTCATTGTTGCCTCAGCAGACTCTTCACCTGAAATCCCAACCCTGAAAGAAGGAAGAAGGGGAGCCTTAGAAAGAAGCAGCCACCTACTTGGGTCTCTCTGTCTTTGCTGGCAAGGGTACCCATGGTGCAGGAGTTCAACTGGAGGCTGTGACACTCATTCCCAAGCCTGGGGTCAATGCATTCAAATGGAGAATTTGGAGAGCCCTGGCCTAGCCGTGAGACCAGCTCCCAAGCCAGTGTGGCTCAGGTAGCAGAGAAGCCACCAGTCCTCCTGTTTCTAATCAGATTAAGGGGATGTGCAGGGAAGTCTGCAGAAATACCTCCAGGGAGGCCAGGTGGGGACCAAAAGGCCATAGTTGCTAGGAAAAGCTGAGCGTAGCCTGCAGAGACAGGGTTGCTAGGCAACCATCTGCCCATTACCAGGGCCCTCACGTCATCAGTAACCTGTGTCTCTGCAGAGCTGGCCAAGAGCATCCTTCCCCAGCCAGTGACAGCCCAGCTGTACTTCTCCCAGGCCTCATACTCTCTGGCCCTGGCCCTGGGATCATTCACTCTGCAACCACAGTGTCCTCATCCCTCCTTGAGCCTGGGGCCCAAATGTTCCCTGAGTTTAAAACTCTGGGTGAACATTTGTGTGAATGTGTGCCTGCAGCATCTGTGGGTAACTCTGGACACATTTGCTTGCGTGCGTGAGCATTTGTGCAAGGGTAGTGTGGATATGTGCAAGTGTGTATAAGCAGATCTGTGTGCACACATTTGCGTGAACAAGTGCGTGAGTGTGCTGCATGTGCTTGTGCATATATGCAGGATGCATATGGGTTTAAGTGTCTGCGTAACCCTGTGTATGTGTGTGCTGATATATATATGTATAGTGCAGATATGCGTGTGTGTACCTGTGCGTGCTGTGTTCTGAGAACATATATACAGTCAGCGCATGTGCTGTTTGTGAGCACAGTTGAGCACTGGCCTTCGAGGGCTGTTTCACCTGAAGAGCATTGGCAAATAAAGGGTTTGCCTATGTGTTAGGTACACAGGTGTATGGGAGGAGTGACTCAGAATGATGTATTCCACACAGAGGTGAGCAGAAAGCAGAGGGCAGACAAAGATGCACCACTGAAGCCAGGCAAATCAGATCTGCACCTTGCTGCGGCTGGAGGGAGGCCCAGAGGGCATAATTAGAACTTACTCTCACTTGATCCATCATAACAGCCTCCTCACTGCTCTTCATGCCTCAATCTCTCCCCAACACAGCTGCCAGATTATGTCACTCTCCTGCTCACAAACCTTCAAAGTCTCCCTATTCTTCTTGGAGAATCAAGTTCAAGGCCTTTACAACCTGCTCTCGAGGCAGCCCCTCTTCCTTGGACCACTTTCTGCCTTGGCCTCCGGGCCCCACGCTTTTCTCATCTCCCTCCCCCCTCACTGGCTCTTCCTCCTCAGTCTTCTGGTTCCCCCTCATCTCCCTGACGTCTCCTCTATCCACATTCACTCACTGGGTGCTGTGGACTGAATGTCTCCCCAAGCTCACTGAAGCTTAAATTGTGTCCCCCATAGTTCCAGGTATTAGGAACTTTGCCCTCACTGTGACAGTGTGAGGAGGGTGGGAAATCCTATTCTGGTAATTGAAAGGTGGGGCCATGAAGAGGTGATCAGATTGTGAGGACAGTGCCCACATAAATGGATTAATAAGTTGGTGATTTAGTGGTGGTTGTGGGCATGGTGCTGAGGGCTTTGAAAGGAGAGCTCGTGAGGAGCTCTCTCTTTCTCTGCTCCCCTATTCTTGCCATGTGACACCCCACATTGCTGTAGATTCACCTCACCAGATGTCTTCCCTGGACAGTGGATTTCCCAGACTCCAAAAGTGTAAGCAATAAATTTCATTTTCTTTGCAAATTACCCAGTTCTAGGTATTTTTGTTATAAGCAAAAGAAACTGACTAATACACTGGGCCTCTCCTCCTGCCCCCAGCTTTCAATGCTACCTCGTGACCAGACTCCCAACTTCATGTCTCCAGTGCAAACTCCTGCTCCTAACTCCAGATTCAGGAGGCCAACTGTCTGCTCTTCATCCCTACTGTATCCACCTGTCCATCTATCCTTCCATTCATCCCACATTGCTAAAAGCCTTCTCCCTATTAGTGGTTTCTGATCTCCACTTTTTAATCTTTATTTTCACTGAACTCTTCAGTGTGTTTTAATGTTGAAATCTTTATGGATGTGGGTGGAGAATCAACTATTAGTAGGCAATAGGGGAGAATCCAGGATAGCTTTAGAAGGCATCAAAGGTAGCCATGGGATCATTGGCAGGGTGGCAGTGGAGGGGGAGACAGCCCTGGCTTTGTTAATAGCAGGGGAGAACTGTGAACCCACTGCATATGTCCATTCATGCATTTATCCATGCATTCAACCAACATTTATCTGGTGCCTTCTGTATACCTGGCACTGTTCTAGGCTCTGGGGACATGGCAGTGAAAACAACAAAGTTCCAGCCCTCGTGGAGGTTGCATTCTAGGGGGAGAGGGGTGTTGAGTGGTGGGTAATATGATTCCCTGGTCTTTATGAGTACAGTGAGGATTCCCACCTTCTCCCAGCCTCTCTGGCCAGTGCCCAGCAACACACAGCACAGAACAAAGGAAAGGAGCTGCCATGAGCAGCAGAGAGTGACCTAGCCCAGGAGCTTTGCAGTCCCTCACTGTAAACCCGCCTCCCTGGGACAGCCCTTAGCCAGGTAGAAAAGTGACTTACTCAGCCTCCTGCTCCTCCTCCTCCTCTTCCTCCTCCTCTCCATCCTCCTCCTCATCTTCTTTCTCCTCTTGAATCTGGGGCAGCTTCCTGAGTTGGGGTCAGAGGCAATAGGTGAACCCACCTGCAGCTGCCCCCAAGTCTACCTCTTGCCCCCATTTTCTGCAGGATGTCCCATGACTCTTGATACTAGACCTGGACTTCCCAACCAAGGCCCAACCTGTGGAGCCCCACCTGAGCAACTCCAGGCTCTCTCTAGCCACAAGACCTCTTCATTACATTAGGGGCATCTCCCAGCCTCCACTGTCCTCGTGGTGATGCTAGGTCAGCCCCTGATCCTCTCTGGGCCTCAGTTTTCCTATCTCATCAATGTAGGTTATGGGCTTGAGGAACTGAGACCTCCCAGCTTGAGTGGTTATCACCAAGCATCACTAGTGGGAACAAAGATTGTGACATCCCTATGGAGGATAATTTGGCAATCACAACAACATTCCCATGCCTGATGACCCAGCAATCCCCCCTCTGGAAATCTATCCTGCAGATGTACTCACATGTGTGCAAAGACATGCACACAAGTGCTTGCTGCAGAATTGTTCATAATAACAAGATTTTGGAATCAACCTAAATGTTCATCAATAGTGGACAGGTTAAATAAATTATGGTACATCCATATAATGGAATGCTGTGCAGCTGTGAAAAAGGAAAGAAGACAGTCTCTATGCACTGAATGTGGAAAGACTCAGGGTATACTGCTGAAAAAATACAGCAAGTTTCAACAGGGACATGTGATATGCTATCTACTGTGCAAAAAAAAGGGAAAAGGATGCATGTTCTTATATACCCAGACTGTTTCTGTAATGGCACATAAAAGCCTAACAGCCACTGCATCCATCAGGAGAGGGATGGGTATCGGAAAGGAAAGGGAGGCCCGGCTTGGTCCCTTCTCTGGGCCCTTTTATACGTTTGGGATTCTGTACTATGTGCCTGTTACCTTCTCAAACAATAACTAATTTTTTCAGGGACTTCTCTGGCTCCCCACCTGAGTATCTCCTCCACAGATTCGTTCTCTTCTTCATAAGCTGGAGCCACCTCTGTACTCTGCGGGCTGGTGCTGCCATCCTGGTGGGCATCCTCCCAGTCAGGGTCAACCTCCTCTAGGATGAGGTCGGGCTCCACTTGCCCTCCAGGGAGGATGCTGACTGCAGGGGACACAGAAAGAGCCATTTGTGGGATGTGGGGGAGAAAGTGCTTAGGCTCCTCGGTCCCAGAGACCCCACTGGGAGCCTTGGCCATTAGCAGCAGTGTGTCGGCTCTCAGCCAACCAGTGGGGAAATAGCACCTTGTCAGCAGGAAAATTAACAGCCCGATCTGTGCTCAAGTGATGGGTTGAAGCGCACAATCATTCACCCCGTCTCCTTCCCTTCTTTCCCCCCTTATTCCTCTTGAGACAGAGCTTTGATTACAGTTGATCAAGATTGCTTCTCACTGGGGCCTCCTTCTTAGAAGTTTGTGCAGAAGCAGAAACAATGTTCTAATCATAGCATTGCAGGTAAGGCCAGAAAATGAAGGCTTGGGGTCTGCCTTGCCACATTCAGGAGCAGGGTGGCTTGGATTATTCTGAGAGATGTAGAGAGAGCCTGCCCACTGACTGTTCTCAAGATGCCACCCCCTGGTGACAGCATGCCCCTGGCTCAGCACTTGCTTCTGGGAGTCCTTCCCTCCCTCGTGGGCCTAAAGTCTCCACCCTCTAAGAGAATTCAACTTTCTCATGGGAGTGGTCCTACCTTCAGATAGAAGTGTGTAATTTTCCACATTTTGCCATATACCCTCATCCCTGACAATGAAAACACTGCAGGGCTGTGAGCTTGGGAGAAATGGGTGCAGAGGAGTCTCTGCAGGAACCTAAGCCTATCCCCAGGCTCAGGGAGGAAGGGAGAGATTGCACGGATCCCAGGTATTCCCTAAAAGCTCCAGGAGTCTTGGTGATCCTCGAGCCAAGCATGAATTAGTAACAGTGACTTTAAGTGAAAGCTGGCCTCAAGACTTATCCTGTGACTTTGGAAGTTATTGTTCATGGTGTAGCCTAATAATAATAGTAACACTATTTGCTGAGCACTTACTATGTGCCAAGCCCTGTGCTAAATGATTTACACTTCAACATTTTGAGGTAGGAATAATTAATATTGATATCCTCATTTTATTTCCCCTCTTTTATATTTTATTCCCCATTTTACAGATGACCAAACAGACACAGATTAACACATCCTTTTATGGGATGCTTCCCATATGCCAGGCATGGGGCTCCCAGCAATTAGGTACAGATACTATACCTGTCTCACAGAGGAGGTACCTGCCTGCCCTCCAGGGAAGGCCCCCACATGCATCCTGAACTAGCCTTTTGCAGGGTCAGTCCTGCTCCTCTGGACTTATGAACATCCCTGGGACTTGACCAGGGAGGATCCTACAAGTGCAGCCCCAAACCCAGAGGCAGGATACGTTGTATGTGCAGTTTTACGTTACCGTCCAGCAATGGTGAAGCATCTTCACTCTGAGCAGCCCTTTGGGGTGCAAGTTCCTGCCTGGACATAGCAGGAGACATTCAAGGGACAGAACATCCCCTTGTCTGAGAGCTCATTAGCTTTCACAGCAACCCCAAAGAGTGAGAACAGTACTCTCCCCATTTTATAGACCAAAGAGCTGGCTCAGAGAGGCTGCATGACCTGTCTAAGACCACACAGGAAGGTGGAGGCAGAATGACCCTGACTCACTATCTTGTGAGATACACATGCCCCATGAGTGTTCACTGGCACTGGTGGACACTTCATAGTGGGTGCTGGCTGTCCTTAAGCGTTGGTGCTGACCTTGCTTACATGCTTGCTTTCCTTTTCATTAACTTTTTCTTTTTAGGTACTGTGTACTGAGCAAGCATTTTACCTCTCTGTATAGTCTTCTCATCTCTGCAGCAGGCCTGGGAGGCATGCCCTATACTGTCCCTATTTTATGGCTACATTCTACAGCTCTAAGAAGAGGATGGTTTTGCTAGCCAGGATGGGTGGGGGTGGGGTACTCTGCCTCACAGCCCCCACAGCAGGGCCTGGAGGAGAAGCCTCTGTCCTGCTCCAGGAGCTCCACGCCCCTCTCTGCAGGTGTCTGATTCCTGGCTCTCCTGGCCTTTCTAGGGCACCACCCAGGTTTCCAAGTGCTATGGGTGCTCCACCTTGAACTTAAACTTCACCCCTGGAATCCATCATGGGGCTCCACCTCCAAGTAAGTGATCTCTCTGTCCTCAGGGCTATTGAAGAGTCTGGACCCTAGCCAGGGAAGGTCAGCAGCCTCAGCTGGAGAAGGAGCCCCTGATTCCAGGATCAGTGGACAGGAAGCCCGGGTACATGAATGCTAGGCCAGGGCTCCCCCCTCCACACACACACACAACAGATCCCAGGTCACTGGCAAAGCTAGAGCCCTGAATCCAGCCCTCTGTCCTCTCTGGCATGCCTGGGTCATGATACCCCTTCTCTCTGCCTGGCCCTCGGCCAGGCCCGCCAGGCCCACATCTCCTCCCATCTAACTCCAAACACTGGCATTTCTCAAAGTACGATCCCAGCCTGTCTCATGAAGGCAGATTCTTAGGCTCCCCAAACTCTTTAATCAGAAGGTCTGGGGTGGGACAACCTTCATGGTTGCCCCCAGGTGCTTCAGAGGTGGCCCTGCTTTGATTGCTTCCAATGCTTGCTCAGCCCCAGAGTAAGCTTTATGGAGTCACTCCCCTGCTCAACCACCTTCAATGACTCCCCATTGCCCACAGCCTAGTCCCCTAAAGGCAGGCCCCAACTTTTCTAGTTTTATCATCTGCATCGGATTCGGGGCTCCAGATTAGCTGGCGTACCCACCCTCTCCCACGTGCCCCTCCTCTCTTAACTCTAGGCGTTTGCTCGCTCTATTCCCTCTACCGGGACTGCGCTCCCCTCGCTCCCAGTTTGAGACCTCAGGGGTCTCAAACTCAAAGGCCTACCCAGCCAGGCAGATGGCGTATATGGGTGAAGGGGCAGGTGCCACTTGCCCTCAGATAGCAGCTGCTGCTGACACTGTCCTTATAAGCACAGTGTGGTCCAACTACAGCCAGATCTTCCAGGTTTTCAAGAGAAGCCAGACTTTATATGCAAAGTTACCTGATTTTTAAATGTTGACAACTAACTCAAATTTTTAAAATCATTCCTTGGCCCAAAGAAAGACATCTGTGGGCCAGCTGGGACCCAGGGCACAGCTCAGGACCGCAGGCTAGCTCCACCCTTCCTGTAATCCCAGAACCACAGGTATTGCCTAGGTAGTCCACCAGGACATTTATTTTAGCCTTATGCTAAGCAATAATATCATGCAATCACAGGTTTGATGTGTTAATTTGTGCTTTTTTAATGTCAATCAAAATGTCTGTTGCTGTCCACTGGTGGTCCCTGGACCTTTTGAAGGAGAGAATGTGGTCAGGCCTAAGGAGAACCTCCTCTGGAAACGTTACATCCCATAGGGCGCTGACTGTGCCGGGCGCCATGCTGAGGGCTATGCAGGTGTCCTCTCAAAGAGATGCTCAATATCGCGTCCTCCACAGGGCTTTACCACAGCCTCTGGTGGGAAGTCCCCCTGCTGTCTAGCCTAAATCTCACAGGTGGACTTTCCGCATGTTCTGGTCTGAGTCCTGCCCCTTGCCAGGAGCCCTGAGAGGAGGCTCTGGGACTGGTGCTGGTGACTCTGGCTCCCCTGGGAGTGTGGGAGGGGCAGGGGTTCATTGTTCCAGTAGGCTGGGGAGTCGATGGCCACCTCCTTCCCTCCCACACCCCGAAGGTCTTCTGTTCAGGGCATCCTTCTTTCCTTCCTTCCATCCATCCATCCGTTTGTCCATCTGTGCTCTCCCAGGTTCCCTTCTCCCTTGTTTCAGAGGCCTCCAGCTGCCACCACCCCTGAAACAAAGGAGAAGGCAGAGGGTGGGCGGCTGTGTGGACAGGCGGAGGGAATGGATGCATGAAATGATGGGGAGGCCAGGGGATGGAGCAGGGCGAAGGGAGGGACAGACACTCCACCCCAGCCCTCAGAATTATCCCATGTAGTTGGTTGAATAGTGTCCCCTAGAAAGATGTGTCCAAGTCCTAACCCCATTAACTGTGAATGTGACCTTATATGGAAATAGGGTCTTTGCAGATGTGATTAAGTTAAGGATCTCAAGTTGGGATTAGGGTGGGCCCAAATCCAGTGACTGGCGTCCTTATGTGAGAAAGGAGAGGGAGATTTGACACACAGAGGAGAGGCTGTGTGAAGAGAAGCAGAGATTGGAGAGCAGCTAGAAGTGAGGGAGCACCAGGGACTGCCAGCAGTCGCCGGAAGCCAGGGAGGCACAGGGCAGCTTCTCCCTCAGAGCCTCAGAAGGAACTAACCCTGCCAATGCTTTGACTCTGGACATCTGGCTCCTAAATTGTGAGGGAATAAATTTCTGCTGTTTTAAGCCATCAGTTAGTGGTCATTTGTTAATGGCAGCCCTAGGAGACAAATCCACCCAGGCTCCCGGCCCCTGTTGAGTCTGCTCCTGGCTGCCTGGTGCCCACCGGTGACCCCACGCTCCAGGAGCCCTGACTTCAGCTAGCTGGGAATCCCACCTCCTTCCAGAGGAGCACAGAGGAAGCTTAGAGGGGCCTTGGGCCCTCCATCCTCAGAGCCATCAGCAGCCTCTGAAGGGTCTCTGCTCCAGGAAATATTCTTGGCTCCTTTAACCTTTGCCTGCCTGAGCGACAGCTGCCCGGCCAGGTGGACACTGACCGCTGCCCCACAAGACTTGCCCTGGGACCTTCGGCAGGTGCCTTCAGTTTTCTGAGCTCTGCGCCCCTGCCTGCCACAACAGCCATAGGGGTCTCCACTCTGCGCATTCCACGAAGACCAGGAGCTCCATGAGGTTAAGCGTGCCCTGCTCTGAGGCTGGCAGGCTCTCCTCAGCAAGTGGGGGGGACACTCTCCCAGCTCAAGGGAGCTGGAGTCTATGGGGTCTGGTTCCCTTGGGGAGACCCTGCCTCAACCCTCTCCCCACCACCAGGACTCTGCTAAAGCAAACCCACTTGCCCAGCTGCCAGGGGCAGGAGGGAGCTCTCTCTGGGTGTTGCCAGAAGGAAGGGTGGCCCATCCACCTTGGCCTTGGAACTGCTTTCTCCGGATAGAAGTCAGAAGACAGGCCTGGAGGAGCCTCTGGCCACTGCCTGGCTTTGGGCCAGGCTCTGGCTACCTGGACAGGCTGAGCAGAGGTGGGGCCTGCAGAGCATGAGGCTATCTCTGCTCCAGGTTGGGGACCCAATTGTGCCCTTCCATGTGAGTCCAGTCCTGGCCAGGGACAACCCCACTGCCCATGTGTTCTCAGACCCAAGAACACCAAGCAACCCTCCCGGAGACACACATAAGGACCCACTAATGTGTCACTTACTGGTCTGCACGTCACTTGTTTCAGGGGAGTCAGCCTCCTGTATGGAGAGAAAAGGGAAAAAAACTGCTGTGGCCTCCTCACTGGCCTCCCTGCTTCCACTCCCATCACACCAGGGGCAAGAATGCCTTTCCTCATCCCCTACTAGGACACTTGCAAAAGACCCCGGTGCCTCAGGCTCGACTCTTCCCTGCGCCGCCTCTCTGCTCCAGCCCCTCTCCCACCAGGATCACTGTTCCATCCCCCCTCAGCGCTGTGGCTCAGGAGGGGCCCCCTGCCTGGAATGCCCTCTCTCCTGCTCTCTCTGTGTGAAGAACCTCCTCCCATCCTTCCTGGGAGGGTTGTCTCAAAGCTCCCAGCTCCACGAAGGCCTTTCCCCACTGGCACGACACTACCCCCCACCCCCACCACATCCTCAGGGCCCCCTTCTCAGTGAGGTCATCCTCATCAACTGATTGGTCCTGCCCTTCCTCCTCTCAGAAAACTGAAGCTGTGCTTCCTCGGCCACCCACAGGGCCACACAAACATGGAGCCTGAGGGGTCAGCCTGCAGGGCGGGGGTCCTGAGGCTTCCTGCCCACTCCCCACTACCACCTCCCTTAGCACAGGAGCCGGCCCTGGAGGAGGGACAGATGGGTGACCCTGGGAGAGCCCAGACACCTGGGTTCCGACTCCAGCAGTGACCCCTTGACCCACCTCTCTGGGCCTCAGTTGTCCTGTAAAATGGAGAAGAGGGTGTGCCCAGAGCCAATGAGGGAATTGGGGGGAGGGTCTTTGAGAGCCCAAGTCTTGGCTCAAGTGAGGCAAGGTGGGAGTGTCCCCAGACAGCAGAGCAGGGCCACCTCCTCAGAGGAGCCAGTCTGGGTCCTGAAGTGGCCCAGAGGCCCAGGACCTGGCCAGGCCTTCCTCCCTCCTGGGCCTGGAGATCTTCATTAACAGTACTCTTTTCCTGCATTCTCACAGCCTCAGGTGGTGACAGGGGATTGTTAGCCCATTATTCAGGTGGGATAACTGAGGTTCTGAGAGGGCTGGGGCCAGAGCTTAGGTCATGCAGTCAGGACTGAGATTAGGCTTCCCATCTCCCAGTTCCAGGTGCTTCTGTGAAGATATTCACTTGTCCACAAAAAGAAGGGCCAGGTCCCAGGTTCTTGGGGAAGAAGAGGAAGGGGTGACAGAGGCTCTGCTCCCCCCAACTCACCCATGTTAGAGCCCTAAGTTGTCAGGAATGCACATAGGGCCCACTGACTCCCAGTGAGCCTTACTTCTTCCCAGAACATTCCAGGTCTCCCTTGTCTCTGGGCCTTTGCACATGCTTGGAAGCCACCTCCATTGAGAAGCCTTCCTTTAATGCTCCTGGGAGGCTCCACCTCTGCACCCCATATCCTTTCTATGTCCCCCATGGAAGCACCTTCCCCGCTGACCGTGAGGTCCTGGAAGATGGGGCCAGGCCAGCACTGCTCAGCCCTGTGGACATGAGCCTCAGAGAGAGTGTGGAATAAACGTGTGCCATATAGACAGGCAACCTGGGTAGCTGGGCTTCTGCTGCGAGCTCCCTTCTTCCTGTGGTGCCCCACCCCGCAGGCACACAGGTCAAACATCCCACACCTACCTGAATTCCAAGACCCCTCCCACCACCACCCAGGGCCTCCACTCCCCAGGCCCAGGACTGACCTGCTCCCCAGCTTTCCCATGGAGCACTGGCTGTGGCAGGGCCATCTCCAGTCTGTGCAGAAGCCATGCTACCAACCTGTGGGTAGGAAAAAGCGGGCTGTGTCCAGGTGGGGAAACTGAGGCCAGAGCCAGCTCCCTCCCAAGGCAGATAACAAGACTGCCAGAAGCCAGAACCCAAGTCTCTAGCCCTGAAGACCATTTTCTCCCCTCCCATCCTCCCTAAGCCAGCCCCCAGCTGCTGCTCTAGCCCCAGCAGGTAGCTCAGTCTTGCCAGAGCCAGCTCCCTCCCAAGGCAGATAACAAGACTGCCAGAAGCCAGAACCCAAGTCTCCAGCCCTGAAGACCATTTTCTCCCCTCCCATCCTCCCTAAGCCAGCCCCCAGCTGCTGCTCTAGCCCCAGCAGGTAGCTCAGTCTCACCCACCCTCTAACCCCAGAAGTACGTTTCGGGCCTCAGACATACTGCCAGGGTGGGAGCATTTGGCAGCATCTATCCGGATTTTAAATGCAAAGGGCTGACTGGTTGCTCAGTTGATTAGAGCTCAGTGTTATAACACCAAGGTCAAGGGTTCGGATCCCCGTACCAGCCAGCCACCAAAAAAAAAAGCATGTATCATTTGGCCCAGCAACTTCATTTCCGCTGATTTATACTACAGATTTACTTGTGCATAAGCCAAATGCACGTCCAAGGCTACTGATTGCAGCAAGAGTGGAAACAAACCTAAATGTTCACTGAGTGGTTAAATAAAAGCTGGTGCATCCACTTAATGGGGTACTTGCAGCTGCTGAAAGAATGAACTAGACCTGTTTGTTTCAAACCACCTCTAAGATACATTTGTAAGTAAAAAAAAAAAGCAAAGTTCAGAAGAGCGTGTACAGTTGGCTCTTATGGGGTGTGTGTTTAAAGGACAAATGTACTCACACACCTGCACGTGCACAGAAAATGTGGGCAGGGACAAGAAGCTGCTGATGTGAGTGCCCTGGGAAGGGGTCTGGAATCTAGTAGAATTTGCTTCTGGGTGCATGTGTTACTTTTATAATTTAAAAAAACCAGTTTTGAGAAGGGTGGGTGCTGGGCTAGGGCGTGGTACCTAGGGAGGCTCACCTGGCAGGGTCCTTGGGTGGCAGCAGGGAGGAGGCCTGGAAGCCAGGCGAGGGCTCTGCAGCCAGCTCCTCCTCAGGCTCCAGGGGAACGGCCGTGGGCAGGGAGGGGCTCTCCAAGACCTGCGGTGGCTCGGGCTCGGGCTCTGTCGCCAGGGGCGGGGCTGCAGGCTCTAAGCAAAAGGGAGAACAGGAGCTAAAGATGCCGTGGCAGGACTTCATGCAACCCTTCAAGGTCACAGAGGGCCAAATTCCAGGCTCTAACATGACCGAGCAGGGAGCCCCTTGGGACCACCCCAACCAACCCTATCATCAAATGGAACAGACAGATGTGGAAACTGAGACCCAGGGAGGTGATGGGACTGTCCAAGACCTCACGAGTCTGTCCCAGGCCTCTGGACTTGGGAGGGGGTTCCTGTAACCCCCCACAACAGCCTGCTCCTGACAAGTTCTTTACCCCTCCCCAGCCTGGGTGAGGGCTTAGAGCCTCACCTGGGATCCCCCAGGCCCAGTTTTCCCCCAGCCCAGCCTGTGACCATCCCAGGCAGCCCCCACCCAGAGCCCCTCCCTGTACCTGGGCTAGAGGCAGCAGCTGCAGGCTCATCTCTCCAGCCCTGGACAGCAAACAGGAGAGAGTTCAGGGATCAAAGCAAGCCCATGCACTCCCCCCAGACAGCTATGTCCTGGCCCTAGTCTGGTGTCAGGGGTACTCTAGTCTTCCTCTGAATCCCCCCACCCCCTCTGTGGTCACCCCTCCCCATTGAGGACTCTCCAAGGAAGGGATCACCTGGGTCAGCTGCCTGCCCTTCTTCTCCTCAACTCACCTTAGAGTATTTGGGGGGCTGAGGCAGCGCTTTCTCCAGATTCTGCTCGAACCATCTGAGCAGCCATGGCCTGTGGAGGGGCCAGTGTTCAGCTGAGTGGCCTGAAGGAATGAGCTAGCCACACTTTCCTGACTTCCCACTGGGCATCCAGGCCTCGACCAGCCCTTCCATGCCCTTACCTCCTGTTCTACACAGCAGGGGTCTTGTTCTGGATACTCTCAAAGGGCCCCAGGGTGTTGGGCAAACTTCTGCCAGCCTCAAATTCTGACACAGGGCTGGACTGCCCTCTGGAACAACAGACCTAACCTTGGCCTCCTGGGATAGCGGGTGAGGGATGGGAGCTTCTTGGGGACCTGAGTGCAGCAGGGGTCTCCCTATAACTGGGACAGATAGGGTGGGCTTTCTGGGTGTGTGACCTGCTCAATAACACAAACCCCATACTTAGAGGGACCTGTTTCTGGTTTAATGCTGCTGTCACAGACTGAAAATTCTTTAAAACATTTTTAGGGGTCCCTGCATTTTCATTTGCCTGAGCCCCACAAATCACATAGCTGGTCCGAGGGGAACCTGTTCTACACAGCAGGGGTCTTGTTCTGGATACTCTCAAAGGGCCCCAGGGTGTTGGGCAAATTTCTGCCAGCCTCAAATTCTGAAACAGGGCTGGACTGCCCTCTGGAACAACAGACCTAACCTTGGCCTCCTGGGATAGCGGGTGAGGGATGGGAGCTTCTTGGGGACCTGAATGCAGCAGGGGTCTCCCTATAACTGGGACAGACAGGGTGGGCTTTCTGGGTGTGTGACCTGCTCAATAACACAAACCCCATACTTAGAGGGACCTGTTTCTGGTTTAATGCTGCTGTCACAGACTGAAAATTCTTTAAAACATTTTTAGGGGTCCCTGCATTTTCATTTGCCTGAGCCCCACAAATCACATAGCTGGTCCGAGGGGAACCGGTAAGTCCCACATCTATCTGGCCTCCAGAAAGTCTCATCTTCTTCAGGAAAGCTCCATGTTACCAAGGCAACCCATTTCCCAGATATGCCCAAAAGAAAGCTGGCAAGTCCTCTGGGTGCCCTCATCCTAAATCACTCTAATAGTCAGCTGAGCAGGGGTCAGCTGGGCAGCCCTCAGAAAGGAAGGGCCAAAAGACACAGAGAAAGCTGGACCCATGAATGAATGAATGGAGTGTGTGGATGTATATATCCATTCATTCATCCACTCATTTGTCCAATGTGTGCTGAGTCCCACTCTACAGCAGGCCCTGTGCTGGACACCAGGGGTTCAACAATGACCAGGACAAAAGCCCCTGCCCCTGGATCCAACAGCCTAATGAATGAGTGAGTGAAGGAAGGAAGGAAGGAATGTGGTGAATGGAGATAAACGCATGACTGGATTTCTGCAGAAATTGTAAACTGGAAGCTTCAGGCTGACTTTGGGAGCCCACTGTGTCGTGAAAACTTGATTTAGCTGGCAACATTTAAAAATTAGGGCGTTTACATTAAAACCTAGATTTCTAGCTTCTCTTAAAAAACCAGAGGACCTGGCCACACAGGGCCTGCACTCCTGCAAGGTGGAGGCCATTGGAACTGAGCAGGGTCCCTCCCTGGAGCAGGATATGAGCTCCCATTTGCCACACACAGACTGCCATTCTCGTTGGTGTGGCAGCCACCCTCATCAGTCAGCTCTGCGAAGTCAGACACTGTTGCCAACTGTGAGGCCAACCTGGGCACCCCCATGTCCCCCATGGTGGTCTATGCCCTGCTTCCAGGCTCCATGCAGAGCCCACCTACATGAAACCCCTCTGTGAGGAGCTCATCCAGGCCTCCTCCCCATTCTCAGAAAGTGGCCCCACCCAGGGACTTCCCCATAATCAGCACAACAAACCGTGGGCAGCACATGGTACATTGTCCCTATTCTATGGATGAGCAAAATGAGGTCCAGAAGAGATGAGAGTCACGTTCTAGATCTCACACTGAGGTGGTAATAGACCCTGCTCCTGAACCCAATACACTCGGCTCTGAGCGCAGAAAGTGGCCCCACCCAGGGACTTCCCCATAATCAGCACAACAAACCGTGGGCAGCACATCGTACATTGTCCCTATTCTATGGATGAGCAAAATGAGGTCCAGAAGAGATGAGAGTCACGTTCTAGATCCCACACTGAGGTGGTAATAGACCCTGCTCCTGAACCCAATACCCTCGGCTCTGAGCACACTGCTCCCCCTACCACACACACTATAGACAACAGTGACACTCAGTAACAGGGACTCACCTGGTGTCCGGGGCCCTTGGGCCCTCACTGGGTCCATCTGCAGATGCTGCAGGGTGAGAAAATAAAGAAGGGCAGTCAGCAGCAACAGACCTGCCCAGAATCCCTGGTCAGCCTGGAGCAGGCACTGAGAGCCCAACTCAAATCCAGGTCCAGACAGATAAGAAGCTCCAGCCCATGGGGCTCATCCCAGCAGCCCCTTAGCTCCTGCCTCTGGAAAGTCATCCTGCTTCTTGGTCTTACCTGCACCTCCAGTGCTGCAGTGCCCAAGGACCTGTGCTCCAGCCTGCTGGGTACAGACAGACAGACATTGGCGGGGAGCCCAGGCCAGCTTCCCACCAGCTCCTCCCCATCTCCAGCCCCTGGCCCCTCCTCAGCCCCCAGCCCCAGCAGTACCTGAGCTGGGTCCTCCATGCCAGCAGCGGTGTTCTGGGCTGCCCTGCCGCTGTGGACGGGCTGTGGGACGACCTTCTCCACACCCTTCATGAGCCAGGTCAGTGCCCAGCTGCTGGGACTGCTGATGGACAGAGATACCAGCCTGCCCTTCCCTTCCCCTAGACCCTCCCTGGTCCAAGTGATGGTCCACAGCATCTTAAAGAACTTGGTTTGAATCCCAAACCACTGTCTCCCCATCATGAGACTTAGGACACCCCTGAGTTTCGTGTCTCTCTGGAAATGGGAGACACTGATCCTTCATGAGGTCAGGCATGCCCACTGCCATTTGGAACCCACCCCATCGGATGCCTGGTACTGAGCAGCTGAGTCTCTCTCATCCTGCCCCCCATCAGCCTGGCTCCAAGCCCCCCAGCCCTGCAACTAGCACACTTCACACGCCAGCTGGGCCGAGGTTCCCTATGAGGTATATCCCTTCTGGCTGAGGCTGATCAGCCTAAGTGAGAGGGTCACAGGCTCACTGCCTGAGGCCAGACCCAGCCCTAGACATGCCCAGCTGGACAAGCACCATGGTCTGAAATGTCTGAATCAACTGGGAGATTCCATGCCAAAGTCTGGATTTCTGGCTTTGCTGGGAAAATCAGAAGCACTGGCCACATCGGACCTGCATTCACCCAAGGACTGAGAAACTTCTGGCCCCACAAAGGGGCCACTCACTACTGCACTCCCACCCTTCCTTTCCTTGGTCGCAATTCCCATCTGGCCAGGACACCCCCCACCCTCTGCCTGAAGCTCCCTTCAGCCAATTACCAGGATGTTCCCAGGGCCAGAAAGACAGCATCTGCTCCCTTCCCCCACCCCCAGGGACTCCCTAGCTGGCAGAGAGGGGAGCTCCCCTGAGGGGAGGGACGGGTGGCGTGGTACCTGTTTACTTCAGGAGCCACAGTGACCTGAGCCTGGAGGGATGTGGGCAGAGTAGAGGCCGCCTCCTGGGTCTCTGGAAAAGAGTCCTTTATACTTTAGATCTGGGGCTTCAGAGAGGTCCATTTCTACCCTGCTGGGGAGGTCAAATCAGAAGCAGGGGAGAGGGGAGAATCCCAAGAGGTCAGAAGGCCGGGGTTCCAGCTCAGCTCAGCTGAAAAGCCTCTAAGAGCTCACACTCAGCTTCTTCAAACCTCAGTTTCCTCATCTGTGAAATGGGTCTGCCAGCCTCTTGCTCTGCTGCAAGGCTCTGAGGGGAGCATGCAGCCCCCTTGCCCTGCCAGCCTAGGTTCCAGCACTCACCCTGGGGGCTCAGGGCAGCCGCAGCCATTTCCTCCTCCTCCAATGGCTCTTCGGGTGGCTGGAGAGTTCAAACAGGACCATGTAAGCCCTACGTGAGACCAACCTTGTCTGGACAGGGGCAGCCCCTGATTCACCCACAAGGGACCCCTATCCCCCAAAGGACTGAACAACTCTATTATCACTGTAGTCTCTGTAAATCCTGGTGGCCGTACCTTCCACCTGGGATATTCTCTTCCTCCCAGCCCTGGGGGTCCCTCTTCCAGAGCTGGGGCCTGTATGCCTCCCAAGGTGGCCTTCCAGCCCCCCAGGCCTATCACACCCCCCAGGAAGCCACCCCACTTCAGTGGCCTGAGAAGAGGGAGGAACAGTTAGAGACGGTTATGAAGATTTGTGGCAAGCTGAAGGGAAGAGGGAGGCAAGAGGAGCCCACCCCCCGACCCCCACCAGGGCTCTTCCTCTCCTTCTGGCCCAAACTTTCCACTCCTCTCTAACAGCCAGTGGAGTTCAGCCTCTGCCATCGCCTCTCACCTGCCTCTGCAGCCATACCTCCTGCTACTGCACGTACATATGTGCATTTACAGACAAACATGCACAGGCATATATGCTCAGACACACAAACATGTGCTCACTCACTCTCACACACATTTACATACATGCAGAGACACAAATATGAGCATATACACATATACATATGCATACTTATAGTGGCCCACACAAACAAGAGTGTGTACAAACATGCAAAGACACAAAAGTAACTGCAGGTGAACACATACATATGCACACATGTATAGACACAAATGGATATGCATATACATTTGCACATACATATGCAGACATGCTCCAACACACATACGCACTCACATATACATCATGCGTGCATGCAGACATACATACGCATGTACGTGTTAGTGTAACAACACACAAACATGCGCATAGGTACAAAGATATATTTGCATATATGTACAGACACAGAAATATGTGCATACATACATGCACATATATATGCTCAGTCACATAAACATAGGCACACACACGTGTACATATTTTAGACACACGAACATGTGCATATGTATATGTATTCATGCACACATGCAGATTTCTGCATCTAAACACATACATGAGCATACACACAGACACACACGAAGAGATATGCAAATATGTGCATATATACAAATACATGTACAAACACACAAACGTGCATGCTCATACAAATACATGTATACATTTACGTTCTCAAAAACGTGCATGTACACATATTTATATGCTCTAGCATGACACACATGCACATGGAACCAGACACACTTATACATGTGCACAAACACATAAGCATATATATGCATGTACATGCATATGCATACACATGCATATAAAAGCGCACACATTGGCATACACTCCCAATTTGCAAATACACATGTAGGCATATAGACATACAACCAAGGACACACCCCCCCACAAAAAAAAAATACATATGCTCACACACGCACACACACACACACACACACACACACATACCCTATACTTGTTTCCTAAACACACCTTGTACTAACCCAGCAATAGCCTTTCCTTTGCCAGGAATGTCCTGCCCCTCCATCTCCCTCAGTTAAAATTCTGTCCAGCCCTCTGTGTCTAGGAAGCACTCCCCCAGCAGCTTCCAGTCTCCAAAGTTAAGATGACTCTCCCTCTTCTGAGCTCCCAGAGTCTTAGTTTGACATACTTATTTGGCCCTCTTAGAAGGGTAGAGCTGAGGCTAATCTTGGAGCTCACCACATTCCCTCACTCCTCTGTCTTCCGGCAGAAATAGCTGGCTGGGTACTTGTCTGCTGACCCCAGGGGCAATGCCTTATTCATCTGCATGCCTTCAGCCCTGAGCACAGGGCCTGGCATCGATCAGAAGCTAAATTAAATCTGTTTCATTGAGCCGCTGAATTACTTGTCATCAGGCTCCTGAATGGATGAAATGCAGGACTGGCAAGTTTTGATGTGCTCAAAAGAAAGTTCTAGAGAAATTCTGCTCAGAGTGTGGTCTATGGACTAGTGCCAGTCTGCAAACCATTACTGGTCTGTGATGATTAAGCAGTTTGCACCAAAATGTATATCAATGTACTGCTTTCCTCATCAAGAAAGTCTTAACTACAAAACAAATACTGACTAAATTAAGCAGTGTTCTTAGTTACATAGTAGCTTTACATTCAGGTCCAAGCTCCTAATCTCATCATGGACTGGTAACAGTTCATTAACTGGCTACTTTAAGTAATTCTGTTCTAGACTCTAGCAGTTGGCAAAATATGGCCTGGGAGCCAAATCCAGCCTGTTGCTTATTTTTATAAATTAAATTTTGTTGGAACACAGCCATACTCATTTGTTTATGCATTATGTATAGCTGTTTTCACACTATAACGGCAGAGTTGAGTAATTAACACAGATGGCATGACCCACAAAACCTAAACTATTTACTATCTAGTCTTTTACAGAAAAATTTGCCTCAGGAAAGCCCTATCCATGCTCTGAGCCTGAGTTTCCTCATTTGTACATGTGCCAGACCAGGTGACCACCTCCTTTCCTTCTGGCTCCAAATTTCTCTGTTGCAAAAGGCCCATGGGGAGCAGCTGGCCCAATCTGGCAAGTCCTCAAGCAGCAAGGCCAGCCTGCCCCTCTCACCCTCCCGCTTCTCACCACAGCCTGTAGTTTAGCCTCCTCAAGTGCTGTTTCAGGCTCGTCCTGCAGCTCAGCCTCCTTGGGGGCTGTTTCAGGCTGGTCCTCTAGCTCAGCCTCCTCAGGGGCTGTTTCAGGCTGGTCCTCCAGCTCAGCCTCCCCGGGGGCTGTTTCAGGCTGGTCCTCTAGCTCAGCCTCCTCGGGGGCTGTTTCAGGCTGGTCCTCTAGCTCAGCCTCCTTGGGGGCTGTTTCAGGCTGGTCCTCTAGCTCAGCCTCCTCGGGTGCTATTTCAGGCTCATCCTGCAGCCCAGCCTCCTTGGGGGCTGTTTCAGCCTGGTCCTCTAGCTCAGCCTCCTTGGGGGCTGTTTCAGCCTGGTCCTCTAGCTCAGCCTCCTTGGGGGCTGTTTCAGGCTGGTCCTCCAGCTCAGCCTCCTCAGGGGCTGTTTCAGGCTGGTCCTCCAGCTCAGCCTCCTTGGGGACTGTTTCAGGCTGGTCCTCTAGCTCAGCCTCCTCGGGGGCTGTTTCAGGCTCCGGTTCTGGTTCTGCCTCTGTCTCAAGCTCTGGCTCCGGCTCTGGTTCCGGCTCCAGCTCTGGTTCTGGTTCTGCCTCCTCCTCCTCCTCCATCTTGGTCTTCTGAGGAGTCCCTGGAGGCTGAGGCAGCACCTTCTGGACCCAGCTCAGCATCCTGACACCTGTAAGGGACAAAGTCCTTTGACTTCCCCAGAGTGCACACAGTTGCTCCCACCTCTTATGGGCTGTTTTTGTGAGTTGCACAGTCTCTTTTCCTCTCATCATCTTTAAAAATATTTCTGCAATTATATCTCCAGGTATTTACATTATAGAATTACTTGAAGCCATAAACATATGTGTATAAAGAGGTTGGTTGCAACGGTGTTACAGCAAAAGATGAAAAACACCCAAATATCCATCAAGGGGAGAATGGTTACTGGAAAGTACCTAAATGTTCATCCGTAAGAGGTGTGTGTATCAAATTATGATACATCCAATAATGGAATATTACAGAGCCATTGAAAAGAAAGAAGCAAATCTATTTGAACTAACATGATATTTACATGCTCTGGAGTTGTCATGAGCCAATCAGTTAAGCTCTCTGTGACTCAGTTTGCTTGGCTGTAAAATGGGGATATTGACAGTACCTACCTCATGGGTTGACTGTGAGGATAAAATGAGTTGAAAAGGGCAACATACTCAGAACAGTGACTGGCACATGCTGAGGGCTTAATAAATGTTGGCTATCACTATTATGTGGTGTCAAGTGAAAAACTAATTATAGAATATTATGTACTACATAATTCTATTATTACAAATTTTAAAATATACATTACAAGTAACATATCAATGGAAAATCTGTTTTGTTCAAGATAAAATTAACCTACATTTATGACTTTTTAATTTTTTAGATAATATGCCAATGAAACCCCTTTTTGTGGTTGATTGTGATATTTCAATCCTATCTACACAGGTTCAGTTTCTAGCTCATTTATCATTGGGGAATGGGGAGCCCCAGACCCTGTGACAATCCCCGCAGGATGGCCTGGCCCAGCAGGCACCTTACAGGTCAGTGTGTACAAAATCCCAACCCTGACCGGGCCCTTCTGAGGCAATGTCCAACACAGGTGTACCCCACCTGTCCCCAGACCCTGGCCCCAGGCTGTAAAGGGCAGGCCCAGGGCCCAAGATCCCTTCCCAGCTCCCCAGAGCCCCGGCCATCCTGCCTGCCCTTCTACTCACAGCCCTGACCTCTGTCCCTGCTCTGGCCTCAGCTGCGCAGCTCCTCCCATGAGAGGCTGTGGTGGGGGCAGAGCTTAGGCCGGGAGTCAGATTCCCAACTCAGCCTCCAAAAAAGTGAACTTGGGCTAGACATGACCCCTCTGGTCTTCCATTTCGTGGGGGAGGAATGGGGTAGACATCGTGATTGTACATGTTGAGACAGCCCAAGTTCATATGTGTGGGATGGCAGATTCCACTGACCCCAGCCAGTCACAGGTAGCCCTGAGAGCCAGCACTGAGCTTAGTGTCCTCCACCCACGATCACACTCAATCTCCTCACCACCATGCCATCCCCCCAACCCCCGCCCCAGTAAAATAAGCATTTTCATCATGGAGCACAGAAAGGTCAACAGACTTGCCCAAGGTGACACAGCCAGAAAGTGGCCCTGCTGAGTTTACACTCAGGGCTGCCCAATTCCAGCTGCACTGCATCCACCCCTTGGTGGTACTGATATTGGCTGAGTACTGGCCTCTTCTCAGGCCAGACCTGTAGACCCTTTCCCAGCAGACAGCAATTCTGGCTTGCTGAACCTTCTGGAAATGACTAGGGAAGCCTCCCCCACCCCCAATTTCCTTCTTCCTTCAGACTCAGGCATTTGCTCCTGGATGAGAATTTAAGTAGGTCCCTTCCATCTTTCTACCATGTCTCTGCTGACTTGACTTTGATGAGGGAGGGTCAGGTGGGAAGTGGACCTGGGAGTGTCAGCCCAGGGAACTTTGGTGTTGAACCCCCAGAATTTTCAGAATCTTATACAGATTCCTAGGCCCCCAAGCCCTCTGGGGTAACTGGAACCTGCATTTCACAAGCTGCCTTGAGGATTCTGATGCATAATAAAGTTTGAGCCCCACAGGAGGAAAGGGAAGATGCAGGTGCCCCGCCTTGTCTGTTTCGTCAGGCGTAAGTGCCTTGCTCAAGGGAGAACATGGGGATCCCACCAGGGGTCCCATCCAGCCCCTACCTCATCCTGAGTTACCTGCTCAGATGCCAACCACCAGCCAGGAACTGCCTTCTCACTGCCACTCGCAGCTGGACTCTCAGGCACAGGGGGGATTAATTGGCAGCAGCCAGGCCGTGTGCAAAGGATTAGCAGGTGCCGAATGGGGGCAGGGGAGAAAAGAGGCGGGCAATGCCCCGGGAACCAGCAGCAGCCTCCCAGAGGCCAGCAGGGACCTGGGCCCCAGGGAAGAGGCTTCATGTGGGGCACCATGGGTTGCCAGGGGAGCCTTCCCATGTACCAAGAGCCCAGCTCCCCACACACCTTGGTCATACCACAGAATGCGCAGTGGGAGAATAACAGCTTGGAGTCCCCATGTCATTCTGGGAGATTCCTCATGGTGGCAGAGGCTTGTCAGCTGTCAGCAGTGGCAGGAGATACACCTCAGCTCTCCAGACCCAATGCCAGGATTCAAGCAGGTTTTCTCTGGACCAGTCTTCTGTGGCTTGGGCAGGGCCTTAGCAGCACTGCCTTGAGCTCTGCCAGAGTGGGCATGGTCCCAGGGCTGAGCCTTTAGGATGGATCCAAGGACTGACAGATGATTGACTCCATCTGACCTGCCCCATGAACTGAGGTTGGAACCTGGAAGGGAGACGGAGATCTAAGAGGAGGGGGTGCAAGGGACAAAAGCCTAGAGAAGAGGGGTTCAGTGGTGACAGGACCCAGGTTGGGGTGGGATACAGCGAGGCTCTGCAAAGGGGCAGTGACTTGACTTGATCATCTGCAACATTTCCAGAGCTTTTCCTACATGCCCAGCAGCATGCCAGCATTGGCACATTGGACAAGACAGACATGGAACCTGCCCTCAGAGAGCTGACATTCCAATGGAGGTGACAGGAACAAAATATTAATGACAAATAAAGAAATAGTACAAATTATGCTAAATTCCATGAAAGAAACAAACAGGGCAGACACATGCATGTTGTTGCAGGAGATGGGTAGACAGACCTCTATGAAGAAGAAGGTATATATTTGAGTTGAGACATGAAAAGCAAGAAATGCTCAGCTCTAAAAAGATCTGGGTGAACAGTGCTCCAGGCAGAAGACACCGCAAGGGTAAAGGTCCTGAGGCTGGAATGAGCCTTGAAGAACAGTAAGGGGGATGGGGGGCCTGGAGCTTAGTGGATGTAGGGGAGAGTGGTGGGAGATGAGGTTGAGAGGTAGGCAGGGCCAGACCACCTCTAGGCCACAGTAAAGAGTTTGGATTTCAGTTGATGCACCATGAAAACCCACTGTCTTGGTCTGTTTGGGCTGCTATAACAAAATACCTTAGACTGGGTAATTTACAAACAACAGAAATTTATTGCTCATAGTTCTGGACGTTGGGGAGTCCAAGATCAAAGGGCCAGCAGATTTGGTGTCTAGTAAGGGCCCAGTCCTCATAGATGGTGCCTTCTATGTTTCCTCACATGATGGAAGGGACAAACAGGCTCCCTCGAGCCTCTTTTATAAGGGCACTAATCCCATCCCAAAGACCCCACCTCTTAACACTACTGTATTGCACTGGAGATTGGGTTTCAACATAGGAATTTGAGGGAGATACAAGCATTCAGACTCTAGCACCCACAATAGTTTTGAACAGGGCTGGACATGATCTGTGTGGCTGTTGTGTGGTGGGAAGGTGTGGAAGCAGGAAACTGGTCAGGAGGCTGGGAGAGACAAGCCACCCTGTAACTGGGTGTTCCCTCCAGTGCTGGTCTTAGGATCTCTGATATGCAGCCCCTGCCCCCAAGGCAAGTGGCATGGAAGAATGTTCTCTCTTCCAGCAAGGCCAAACCCCAATGGCAAAGCTCAAGGTGGTCCCAGCCCCTCCTCTGTAAGTATGCCAGACCGTGGGTGGTCAGAGCTCCTCCCCATGGCACCTCTGGCCAGACCCCTGGGGGGAACAGTGGGCTCTTCTGCTGTGCCTAGGTCTGTAAGTGATTGTCCATGTCATTGGTCATATTCACCCTGGCCTGACAGGGACAGATGATAGGGCTCGGACTAGACTAGTGACAGTAGAGACAGGAGAAAGAGGAGGGAAAACAGAGGCCCTGAGGATGCTCCACTTGGGTAACTGGGTGGCAGGTGGTACGTTTACTGAAAAGAGGAAGCCTGGGGCTAGAGGTTGGGAGGAAGAGTTAGTTTTGGGGGGAAAATTATAAACTCAACTTTGTTGAGATGTCTGAGCAGCATCCAATTGGAAATGTGCAGTAGGTGGTGAGGGGTGTGCATGTGTGTGTGTGCGTGTGTGTGTGTGTGTGTGTGTGTGTGTGTAGCTTAGGGAGTGGTGAACTGTAGACAAATTTTGAAGGCATCAGCTTGTAGATGATGCTTAAAGCCACAGGACTAATTGCCATCACGTGGGGAATACAGTGTGAAAGAGGACCAACATGGCGCCTGGACCACTCAAAGGCTGGGAAAAGGAGGGAGAGATAGGAAAGAAGACTGAAGAAGCTGTTGGGGAGAGGAGGAGAACCAGGAATGTGGGGTGTGCTGAAAGCCAAGAGTGACTGCGTCGTGAGGGGTAGTGATCAGAGCAGACCGCTGTCTGTGCTGAGCCTTGACATGTGCCCCCGGGTTGAGCAACTGCCCCCTGGAGGCAGTTGGAGCCCCTGTGGAGTTGGGGAGGAGGGCAAAGGCAGACAGGTGAAGAGTAATGGGCTCTAGGGAGAGGAAAATGGACAAACCACAGCCATGCACCACAGTTTGGATGAATGTCACGTGCACATATGCGGAGGGAAAGAAGCCAGATTCAAAAGACCCCAATAGTCCATGTATGTAAAGTCCCAAAAGGGCGAAATGAACCCGTCTTGTCTGTGGCTGCAAACGGATAGTAAAACCAGAAAGGAAATCAGCTCATACCGTGAGGCGGGAGAGTCGCTACCTTCTGTGGGGTTGGGAATTGGGATTGGGAAGGGGTATGTGGAGGCTTCTAGGGACTGGCCGGACCCCATTTCTTGCTTTCTTTTATTAATTTAGCTGCCATCTATTTTTAAAAACAACTTTATTGAGGTATAGTTTATATGCTGTAAAATTCACCCATTTTAAGTGTACAACTCAAGGATTTTCAGTAAATTGACTGAACTATGTATGTGTCTATCAGCACCATCTAGTTTTAGAACATTTCCATCTCCCCAGTAAGATCTCTCATGCTAAGTTACAATCGCTCTCCATCCCAACCCCTCAGCTCCAGGCAACCACTAATCTGCTTTCTGCGTCTATGGACATGCCTTTTCTAGACATTTTATATAAACAGGTCACACAATATGTGGTTTTTTGGTGTGTGTCTGGATTTTTATGTAGCACAACGTTTTTGAGATTCATCCACCCTGTAGCATGTATCAGTACTTCATTTCTTATTACTGCAAAGTATTCCACAGCATAGATATACCATGGTTTGTTTATCTCCACTCACTAGTCAATGGACACTTAGGTTGTTTCCACTTTTGGGCTATAAATAATGTTGCTATGAACCTTTGCATACAAGTCTTTGTGTGAACGTGTATTTTCATTTCTCTTGGGAGGATTCCTAGGTTTAGAATCTTTTATATGACCCAATCGAATGGTAAATTTATGTTTCACATTTTAAGAAACTGCTAAACTGTTTTGCAAAGTAGTACCCCATGTCTTGACCTGGGTGGTAGTTATACAGGGTCTTCCTTTATAGATTATTAGTGACGTTATATGTTTATGGACTTTTTGTACTTTTTCCTATTTTATAACTTTAAAAGAATTATAAAATAAATTGGGGGTGGGCGCAGTGAGTGAAGTCAACTCTGGGAAGGTTTTTGTGAGGGGTAGGACTTGGGGATGCTGCTCTGGGGGCTGCATGAAATGCTGGAAGAGCAACAATTGAGGAACCAAATCCTATACTGATTTCTCAATAGGGGACCCAGGTCGCAACAGGCTCAGCACCTGGGCAGGTGTTTGCAAAGCATATGCCAATATATGCAAGTAAGTTTGACCTTCTCAGGGTTTCCTCATCTTGGGCGTCCATCTCTAATGGTTGTGACCAGGGTATGGGCAGGCCCCAGGGCTTCAGGGTGCTGGGCTCAGGCATTCACAGCTTGGCTTTCGTGGGAGGGAAGAAGCCTGCAGTCCTGCAGAGGCTGGGGGTGGAGTATCACCTGCTAATCCCTGGCCTGCTGAGGCCACCACTCTCCCTGATCCCCTCGCGCTAACCCTGGATATTGACCACAGCTAATCTCTACCCCTGGAGCCCCAAGGGCTGGCAGACAGCGCAGTGCTCTCTTCTCTGAGGTTTGCAGGGAAGAGAGAGCCCTCCCAGCTCCCAGACACCGTAATGGCAGTGCTTAGGGCCCTTGCCTGACACCGACCACAGTCTTGAGGCCCAGAGAGAAACCATCACAAGTCCAGGGTCACACTAACTGGGGTGGGCTCAACAGCCAACCCTGGTCTGCCCTGGTCTGGCCACTTCCAGGGATTGGCAGACAGCGCAGTGCTCTCTTCTCTGAGGTTTGCAGGGAAGAGAGAGCCCTCCCAGCTCTCAGACACCGTAATGGCAGTGCTTAGGGCCCTTGCCTGACACCGACCACAGTCTTGAGGCCCAGAGAGAAACCGTCACAAGTCCAGGGTCACACTAACTGGGGTGGGCTCAACAGCCAACCCTGGTCTGCCCTGGTCTGGCCACTTCCAGGGAGCCTTAGCTCCCTGCCTGACATTTCCCAAGATGCCTGGCCTGTTCTGAGGCCCAGGAGACTGCAGCCTTCAGGAAGGCTGAAAGGGAGTGGCCAGTGCACAAGAAACTCTGGCAGCAGGCTCTTCTCCGAGCCTGCGGTTGCCAAGGTATGGGTGACCTCACAATCAGGTGCCCTCACAATCAGGCTGCAATGGGCATTGTCTCTACACAAAGTTCCTTTAGTCTCCTGCTGTCCATAGGGCACTGGGTTCCAGCCCACCTCCTGTCCTCTTCTGCCTATTGAGCAGTCAGAAGAGCAGCAAGTCCTTATAAGCCTGTGCCCTGTGGATGAGGTAGCCGCTGTCAGTGGGTCAGAAGCAGGGAACCCTCTCTTCCCTCCTTGCAGTACTCTACTTCCCTACTCCTCCCTATGCAGTCCCATTCTTATGCAGTCCCATTCCGAGGCAGCTTCCCCATGCCTTGTCACTATGCCCTCTGCCTGCTCCTCCGTAGCCCAAGGTCCTCTCTCCTCCTGCCCACCTATCTCCCACCTCCATCTCTAACTCAGGGTCAGAAAGTAAGCAAGCTGAGGGCCGGCCCAGTGGCGCACTGCTACAGTGTGCTCCGCCAAGGGTTCGGATCCCACATACAGACCTGCCGCTCACTGGCTGAGCGAGGTGCAGGTGCAGCACCGAGGGTTGCAATCCCGTTGCCGGTCCCAGTCTGGTACGGGCGCGACACTGAGGGTTGCAATCCGTTGCCGGACACGAAAAAAGACAAAAAGGAAAAAAAGAAAAAAAAAAGAAAGTAAGCAAGCTGAGTGAACAAATTCTCACTAAGGTGTAAATGACTGAAAGTCTCCTGGGAATTTCTGCTCTTTAAAGGGAGGCATTGGGTAACCAGCAAGGCTTTTCTAGTTCAAATCTATCATCTCTGTCCCTTTTTTAAAAACTTTTCTCTCTCTCTCTATAGAATTTGGGATAAACACCAGATACCTTAGCTAAGGCAAGTCCATAATCAGTCACCCAGAGGCATACAGCACACTGAGCTACATTCTAAACCCACTTACTGCTGCCTTTTCCTGCTCATTATTTAAGAACAGACTCAAATGCCACCTCTTTTAGACTGTAGCAAACCGGCCATCCCTATATAGGATCCGAACCCGTGGCCTTGGTGTTATTAGCACCGCACTCTACCGAGTGAGCCACGGGCCGGCCCCAAGAGCTACATTCTAAACCCACTTACTGCTGCCTTTTCCTGCTCATTGAATAAGTGAGAACATGTGGTATTTCTTTTTCTCTGCCTGACTCGTTTCACTCAGTATTATTCTTTCAAGGTCCATCCATGTTGTTGCAAATGGTAGTATTTCATTCGTTTTTATAGCTGAGTAGTATTCCATTGTGTAGATATACCACATTTTCCGTATCCACTCATCCGATGATGGACATTTGGGTTGATTCCAGCTCTTGGCTATTGTGAAGAGTGCTGCAATGAACATTGGGAAACAAGTATACCTTCGACTTGATGATTTCCATTCCTTTGGATATATTCCCAGCAGTGGGATAGCTGGGTCATATGGTCGATCTATCTGCAACTGTTTGAGGAACCTCCAAACCATTTTCCATAGGGGTTGCACCATTGTGCATTCCCACCAACAGTGTAAGAGAGTTCCTTTTTCTCCGCAGCCACGCCAGCATTTATCTTTCGGTGTCTTTTGGATTTTTGCCATCCTAACTGGGGTGAGATGGTATCTCAGTGTGGTTTTGATTTGCATTTCCTGGATGCTGAGTGATGTTGAGCATTTTTTCATATGACTGTTGGCCATTTGCATATCTTCTTTAGAGAAATGCTTACTTAGTTCTTTTGCCCATTTTTTGATTGGGTTGCTTGTTTTTTTCTTGTAAAGTTGTTTGAGTTCTTTATATATTCTGGATATTAGTCCTTTGTTGGATGTGTATTTTGCAAATATTTTCTCCCACTCTGTTGGTTGTCTTTTAGCTCTGTTAATTGTTTCTTTTGCTGTGCAGAAGCTTTTTAGTTTGTTATAGTCCCATTTGTTTATTTTTCCTTTGGTTGCCTGTGCTTTTGGGGTCATATTCATGAAGTCTGTGCCCAGCCCTATTTGCTGAAGGGTTTCTCCTATGTTTTCTTTAATAAGTTTTATTGTTTCGGGGTGTATATTTAAATCCTTGATCCATTTTGAGTTGATTTTAGTATATGGTGAGAGGTATGGGTCTAGTTTCAATCTCCTGCATATGGATATCCAGTTATCCCAGCACCCTTTGCTGAAGAGGGAGTCCCGACCCCAGTGAATAGACTTGATGCCTTTGCTGAAGATCAAATGGCAGTGAGTGCGTGGGTTGATTTCTGGGTATTCTATTCTATTCCATTGATCAGTGTCTCTGTTTTTATACCAGTACCATGCTGTTTTGGTTATTGTGGCTTTGTAGTATAGTTTAAAGTCAGGTAGAGTAATACCTTCAGCTTTATTTTTTTTTGCTCAGCGTTGCTTTGGCTATTCTTGGTCTTTTGTTATTCCAGATAAATGACTGTATAGTTCTTTCCATTTCTGAGAGAAATGTCATTGGAATTTTGATGGGGATTGCATTGAATTTGTATATTACTTTGGGTAGTATAGTCATTTTCACTATATTGATTCTTCCAATCCAGGAGCATGGGATGTCTTTCCATCTTTTTGTATCCTCTCTAATTTCTCTCAGGAGTGGTTTGTAGTTCTCGTTATAGAGATTTTTCACATCCTTAGTTAGTTCAGTTCCTAGGTATTTTATTTTTTTGGTGGCTATTGTGAATGGGCAGGCTTTCTTGATTTCTCTTTCTGCTTGTTCACTATTGGTGAATAGAAATGCTACTGATTTTTGTGTGTTGATTTTGTATCCTGCTACTGTGCTGAACTCTTTTATCACCTCTAAGAGTTTTTTTGTAGATGATTTGGGCTGTTCGATATATAGGATCATGTCATCTGCAAACAGGGACAGTTTGACTTCATCCTTTCCAATCTGGATGCCCTTTATTTCCTTCTCTTTTCTGATTGCTCTGGCTAATACTTCCAATACTATGTTGAATAGGAGTGGTGAGAGTGGGCCTTAGTGTTATCAGCACCGCACTCTCCCGAGTGAGCTACAGGCCGGCCCGTAAGCATATGCTTTTAATAAAAGAAATAAAGTCATGTGGAGTATACTAACATTTATAAAGCAAATGTATTTCACAGGGCCTAGTTTCCAAAGCCCTGTGGTTTTGTGTATAACTTAACTTTTTAAAATTACGTATGGAAATGTTAAGCTTGCAAAAGACGGGAAACTCTCCCCAGGCTAAAGTCCCTGTTGTGGATATAGAATTGTAACACAGCAAAATTGCTGGCTCTCAAGGACAGACCTACTGATTGATATGTTAAGAAAGTTGCTTTATTGTTATGTAAAAATACTGAGGAAAACACAGTGTTTGCTAAGAACAAGCTTTTGTTGGTGGATCGGCTTAACCTTTTGCAAATTGCATTATGAATGTCACTTTGTTATTTCACTGATGTTACCAGTTTCTATTGTTAAACTATACTTAGCCATAACTCCACTTATGTTCTTTTTCTGTAACTTCCTGGTCTGGAGAATAAATATGGGGAGAGAACCCCAGTTTGTGGTTAATTTCCCAAGGAGGAATGCCTCTCTCTTGAGGGTTCTGGGAAGTTAACTCCTTCGGGGTGTCTCAGTGCTCAGAAGAGATGGGCTTTGAGTAATCCTTTTTGCATCTCCACCACCCCGTGTGAGGCAAAGCAACAAAGTCATGATTTCAAAACTCAAAATGCCATAACAATAACAAGTCTCACTCCCATCCCCGTTACAGGTAACCATTCTTAGTTTCTAATGTATCTTTTTCCGTTGTTTACTAATGTAAATACAAACATATATTCTTATGCTCCCCGACTTTTTATGAGGAACATTTTCAAATAGAAAAAAGTTGAAATAATACTATGAGCACCCCTTACCTTCCACCTGCTTTGACTGATATTTTGCCACATTTGCACTCTCTCTCCCTCTCACACACAGACACACACACACACACACACACACACACACACACACTTTAGCAACTCCCAAACTCAAGCACTGCCTCCTGCATGACACAATACCATTATCGCACCTATGAAAGTTAACAATAATTTCATAATATCTAATATCCAGTCCATATTAAAATTTCCCCAATGACTAAAATGTGTCTCTTATAGCTCTAAAAAAATTGGGGGGGGGGGTGGAGAGAAAACCGGGATTCAGTCTAGGATTGTGCATTGCAATTGGTTATGTCTTTAGTCTTAGTCTAAAACTGTCCATCCATTTTCCATTTTTCCCCCATAGTACCGACTTTTTAATGAGTAAAAAATGGGGGGGGGGGGGTGGAGAGAAAACCGGGATTCAGTCTAGGATTGTGCATTGCAATTGGTTATGTCTTTAGTCTTAGTCTAAAACTGTCCATCCATTTTCCATTTTTCCCCCATAGTACCGACTTTTTAATGAGTCCCAAACAGTTGTGTTGTAGACAGTCCCACGTGGTGAATTTTTCCTCATGGCTTTCTTTACCCTGTTAGTCTAGTTTCCATAAACTAGAAACTGGGTGTAGAGGCTTGATTAGCCAGGTTAAACACTGCTGGCCAGAATCTTTCACAGGTAATAAATGCTGCATTAGCCCACTAAAACTGATTTTGAGCTTCTGTCCTTCAGAACTGTAGAATAAATTTGTGTTGTCCCAAGTCACCAAGTTTGTGACAAAAAAATCCAGGATGATCCATTTATTACCTGTGAAATTATGCTGCAGCAGGAGGCACATAATATCATTATCCAGCTATTCCTGCTGCTAAGTTTGATGATTTGGTTAAGGTAGTGACCTGAATGAATATTCTTCTCTGCCTCCAATAGTCTAAGTTTTAGGCTCTAAAGCAAATGGTAGCATGTGGTATACACTCTTCTGCACCTTGAAGATCTTGTATAGGGAACTCCCTCAATTTATTTTTAATCGCTGCATAATGAGGATGCACTATAGTTTATGTAACGAGTCATTTAATGACAGATACTTGAGTTGTTTCTAATCAATTGCTATTACAAACAACACTGAAATGGGTACCCTTCTACATGCATCATTACTTATGCAGATGCAAAGTGGGATGAATTCCCAGAATTAGGACTGTGGGGTCAAAAGGCATGCATATTTATAATTCTGATAGATAATGCCAATTGCTCTCCATAGGCTCCAGTCAATTTCTACCCCTTCTGGCAATGTAGGACAAAGGGCCTGATTCTGATAACTGTACTAACTTTTGGATAGTTTCCAATCTGATAGGTAAAAATTGGTATCTTAATATACTGTGGTTTGAATGTATACATTCATCTTATAAATGAGGTTGAGTACCTTTTTATATGTTTAGGGTCCATTTGTATTTCCTGTGTTCTCTTGTATTTGTGTGTGAACTACCTATGCATGTTGTTTACCCATTTTTCTTTCTTTTCCTCTTTCTTTTTTTTTGGTCTTGATTTTGTAGCAGCTCTTTCAATATTAGGAAAATTGCCTCTCATCTGTAAATAGGTGGAAACTTTTTTTCCATTTGTCTTTTGACATATTTTTGCCATGCAGAAGTTTATTTTTATGTAGTCAAAGTTATCGATCTTTTCTTTAAAGCTTCTGGATTTTGAATCAGTTAGTAAGGGCTTCCTCACTCCAAGGTTACAAAGGAATTTGCCCATGTTTTCTTGTACTTCTATGGTTTCCTTTTTTACATTGAAATCTTTGATCTATTTGGAGTTTATTTTGTTGTAAGAGGTAAGATATGGATATCATTTTATCTTAAATTTTTAAAAGTCATAAAATATACATATTTCAAAACAATTTTAAAGCACAGTGTGAGCCAAACCTTTCCTGTGTGGGCCTGTAACCACTAGTGCAGGAGACACCTCTCTTTCCTTCTTTCAACAGATGAGTTTAACAATGCACACTTCACACTCCTCGGGATCCCCAATAAACCCTTGCAGTGCTTGGTGAGTGTCCTTTGCTCCTGGCCCTGGGTTTGCTCAACCAGCCCCAAGCTCCTCTGGTCCTGGGCTCTGCTCCCAGAGCTCCTCCTCAGCTGCCTGCTTGGGACCCTCCACCCAAACTCCACCCCAGTCTCCTGCTCCAGGCATCCTCTAGGTCAGATGGGCCATATGTCAGCTCAGGCCTATGGAGTGTTCTGGGATGGCCTCTCAGGCTCCCGCACATACCGCCGCAACCCTGACCCCCATCGCCCTGGCAGGACATCACAGCCACCGGCCGGAAGCTCGGCGACAGGTACCGCAAGGGAAAGCTGGCGCCCATTGCACCAGGCATCAACCGGGTGGACTGGCCCTGCTTCACGCGCGCCATCGAAGACTGGTCCCACTTCGTGTCCTCGGCCGGGGAGTTCAAGCTGCCCTGCGCGAGCAAGAGGGGTCAGTCTACTGGCCGCGGAAAATGCCCTGGGACGGGGAAGTTTGCGGGGCTGCGGGGCTAGAGCAGGGAGTATGGACTGCTGACTGCGGGAGGGGGTAGGGGGCGGGGGCGGGATCTGGCACAGACAGGGCGGGGGAGCTGGGCATCAGCTGGGGCACCTACGGCGGGCGGGACTGACACCGGCTGAAGGACTTGGGGCTCTTCTTGGGGGAAGGAGGGAACAAATCTGGCCAG